TATCCTGGGTTGGGTGAGGAGGAAACATCCAGAGAGATCTTGAAGCGTTGAGAGGGGGCGGAGGGAACTTGAACTGGCACACGTGCATACGTACTGCATTTGCACAAATAACACAGGCACACCTACACACCCATGCACATGTGTGCATGTACACATGCATCCTATTATGAACGCTGGAAAAACCCATCTCACACATAACACACTCTGCAAACCAGCTTTAAGGTAGACCCTGAGCCGTGGGACGTACTGTGCTGGGTGGAAGAGAGGAGAGCAAGGGGATGAGGTTCAGACTAGGCACTAGCATCTCCAGCTCTAGTCCCCACTCACGCCGTCACTGCCTGGGTGACTGCAGGCAAATGGCTTCGCCTGTGGGTGACTCTGTTGCCTGAAGAGTAATGAGAGTGCACAGCACGGGGCTGGTAAGGCGCACCTGAAACAAAGGCTTCCTTTCTGCTGTGTCTCTTTCTCTGCAGAAATTCCAAGTAAGGAGATGAAACCCCCCACTGGCCCTGACCCTCCAGAGCCCCCGGCCCAGAATCACACACACCATCCACCCAAAACCCACCTCAGCAGGCCGGGCTCTCCTGCATGCCGGAGTTCTCCACCCCTCCTTCCTGCTCACCTCATGCACCCGCTCCACCCCACCCAGCAGCTCCCCGAGACCCCTGCCCAGCACCTGCCCAACCCGCAGCAACCTGAGCCCAAGTGAGGGGGCCCATTTCCGCTGTTTGCGTCCCGCTCACAGTCCTGGTGTGGGTTCCTTTTCTGTGACCGCCCTGGGGACGCCTTGTCAGGTGCAGCTGGACTGTGCTGACACTGTCTCCAGTTGGGCTTGGGGCGGCGCCAGAGAGGTGGAGGAGCCCCCTGTTCCGCAGCCTGCCAGCCCTGCCAACGCGCTGCTCCTCCGCCCGGCCTGCACCCATGCCCACCTCCCCCTGTTGCTCATCTCGCTGGATCCCCAAGAGCCTCTAATCTTTCCTTTAGGGATTCCCACTTGCTGGGTGGGGAGATCGTGCTGGGAGGCAGCGACCCCCAGTACTACCAAGGGAATTTCCACTACGTGAGCATCAGCAAGACTGGCTCCTGGCAGATCAGAATGAAAGGGTCAGGACTCCTCCACCCTGCCCACCCTGCAGGGCGCTGCTGCTGCTCGAGGAGGGCTCCCCTCCGGACGCTGTCACCCGCCTGCTCTCTCCCCTAAGGCAGCCACTTCTTCAGGCACAGCCAGGGCTCTCTGCTTGCTCGTCCAGGGGTGGGGAATGTGGAAACAGGAGCAGAGGGGAGTGGGGCCACGGAGAGGAGGTGGGGGTCACAGAGCCACGCGCTGAGGGAGGAGGACAGTACCCCTCGCCCCCCGGCTCACACCTTCCTGTCCTCACGCCCCACTGACTGCCACGTGGCCCCCACCCTGCCCTCAGTGGGAGAGCTCTGCAGCTGGGAGTGGCCCCGCAGCCCTCTGTCTGCCTGCCTGACTGCGACCTCCTTCAGGGTGTCTGTGGGGTCGGCCGCCTTGCTCTGCCAGGAGGGCTGCATGGCAGTGGTGGACACTGGCGCGTCCTACATCTCAGGTCCCACCAGCTCCCTGAGGCTGCTCATGGAGAACCTGGGGGCCAAGGAGCTGAGCACCAATGAAGTAAGCAGCTCAGGAGGGGCGCCAGGCCTGGGGGAGCACCACCTGGTCCAGGCCCTCACATTTCGGGCTTTCCCATCCTCACCTCTCACACTCCTGGGCCTGGTCCCCTGGGGAGTTGGGGGAGGGGAGCGCATGTGTCCAGCTCTCCCCAGGGGAGAGGCCAGGCCACAAGCACAGGGCCGTGTCTTCTGGCGGACGCCCTGCACTCAAAGGGGCCGCTTTTACTCTCCCCTCAGTATGTTGTGAACTGTAACCAGGTGCCCACGCTCCCCGACATCTCCTTCCACCTCGGGGGCAGGGCCTACACGCTCACCAGTGCGGACTATGTATTACAGGTGAGGCTGCAGCCCGCCCCTCGGTGGCAGGCAGGAAGGGTGGGCAGGGGCCCTCGAGAAGGGGCAAGTCATTATGCACAGGTTACATACCAGATCAGTGGTTCTCAAACATGGCTGCATGTTAGAGTCACCTGGGAGATTTAAAAAGTCCCAGAAACAAGCCACATCCCTACCTATTGAATCAGAACTCTGGGGGTGGCACCTGGGCATCAGTGTTGCCAAGCCTCCCCAGGTGATCCCATGCAGAGCCAACTTTGGGAACATTGGGCCCATCGCTTATCTCCACTTTCTCATCAAACGCTCCCTTTAATGCTAGGCTCCTATATCCTCACCCTCTGTATACACTCAGTAGGCTTAGAAAAGTTAAATACTTTGTCTATGATCAGAAGCTCTGCCAGACTCTGAGCTCTTGAGGGGGGAACTGGGTCTGATATGTTGTTTGCCCATGTCTAGCTCAGTGCCTGCATCCAGGATGGTGCAATCCACGATGGGGTCAAGGGTCAGGGTTCAAGTGTGGATGGGGGATATTGCCAAGGACAGCTGCTGGGGTCAGGCAAGGTGAAGGGAGAATGGTTATGTGCTGGGCAGTGGGGGAAACTCTTTTACTTTCTGCCAGGACCCCTACAGTACTGACGATCTGTGCACACTCGCCCTCCATGGTCTGGACATCCCACCACCCACTGGGCCTGTGTGGGTCCTGGGTGCCAGCTTCATCCGCAAGTTCTACACAGAGTTTGATCGGCACAACAATCGTATTGGCTTCGCCTTGGCCTGCTGAGGCCCTCTCGTACCCAGGTGGTCCTTGCCCTCATCTGTAGCCCAGAGACAGAGCGCTCACTGGGGCCCCCCCACCCCTGAGTGCCTGTGCTGTGCCCTCATGTAGGGGCACAGGGTGTGGGCTCCACCCAGACGCTTGCCCTGCCCCCAGCACCAGCTCTTCCCTGCTAGTGAGGACAAACAGAATAAAGACTTTGTGTTCACAGTGCCATTGCCCCTGGGTTTAGTAGGGTTTGCAATAAGGAGGCACAGCCGTGTGATCATGTGCAAACAGTAATGTGACATAGAATGACGGCACATTCACCACATGCACAGGTTTTTGTGTGCAGGATAATGTCATCTGTCCCATGTCAGTAGACCTCAGGTGGTGGAGGTGTTTGCACAACTTTGGGTGGGAAGTTTGCAGAGAGCCAACCTGGTGGCCCCTTCAGCCCCTTGAGGACTGGGGCTGATGCTGCTACAGCAGACTGGGGGTCAGAAAGATGTTCCCAGCTAGTGGAAGCCAGCCCCAAGCTCAGGCCCTGCACCTCTCAGCTAGCAGCCCTGCCTCTCATGCACCGCAAGCCCCCCAGCCCCTTCCCCAGTGAGCCATTTACACATGCAATCTAAGACATCATCGCCTAAAAACACAGAACACCAGAGATCTGCCTGACACCCACTTTTTACATGTGGGGAAACTGAGGCTCAGAGAATGGAAGGCATTTGACCAAGACTGCTTGTTGAAGTATGAAAAATCAAGACTAGAACCCAGCCCAGGGTCCTGGGGGCTTTTCCATTATCATCTGCAGTTGCACCCTCACAAGTACAGAGCTTCACACACCCTTGTGTGGGACCGGGTGCAGAAGCGTGCAGACACACACGGCTCTCCTCTGTCTCATGGACATGGGACTCCTCAGGCTTTCATCTCCCTCGCTCTTACCGCTTGGGCTGTGTACAGGGGTGTATAGCTTGGAGAATGAGAAGCAAAGTCCACCTGAAGCCACCACTGCTGTCCCTCTTCAGCGCAGTGGCTCACTGCTTCTTGGACCAAAAAGGGTGAGGCACTGAGTGGCACAGCCAGGCCCAGGGAACCTCATACCTTCAGAACCGCAGCCTCTTGGGACTGTGTGGGACCCCCAGGGGTTCCCTAGGGCACAGACCCACAGGCAGGAGCTATCTGCATTATCCGCGTGCAGAGCCAAGAGCGTGAGCCTGTGCTCAGGACTCTGGACCCCGACCGTGCCCCCCATCCCCTGAGTTTGCTTGCCTGCCTGGCTTTATTTCCACACTGCAAAAAGAAGGGTTGGAGCTACTGTCCTTCCTAGCTGGACATCCTGGGGCCTTAAGTAGGCAGGCCTCCCCATCATCTCCTAAGTGGTCCAACATGATAGCAACATACAGCTATTAAAATTAAAGTTGAGTGTCACACTAGGCATATTTCAAGTGCTGGATAGTCACAAGTGACCAGCGGCCACTGCACTGGGCAGCACAGGTATAGAACATCTCCATCATCCAAGAAGTTCTGCTAGACAGAGCTGGATTCTGGACAGCAATAACGATAGCAGCCTCGTGGCTGGGAGGTTCCTGAATAGGCTAAGGGGACAATTTGGGCAAATAGAAAATGGCTCCTTCTTGGGGGTAGGGGCCATGAGGGCTCTCCCACCCAGGCTGGTGACTAGTGAGGTCCTCATTGGCACTCCCACCCTCAACAAACATCACCCAATATACCCTCTCCGTTGAGTATGTCCGTGTGTGTTGGGGGAAAGGGGATTTGCCTGGGGAGCTGCCCGCAAGGAAGGGCCTTTGGAGAGGCTGCAGGGGCCGCTCCTGCAGAGCCTTTTCCAGGAGCCCAGGGACTGGGGGCCGGAAGCTGGGACCCAGGTGGCCAGCCCAAGCTGACCTCTTGGGAGCGGCCAGATCTCCATAGTCCAGAATGGAGTGGGGGCGCAGGAAGAGCCCTCCCCCGACCCTGTCCCAGGCTGCGCATGGAGAGCTGCCCAGTGGAGGCGAGAGCGACGAGGCCAGCCGGGAAGCCAGCCCAGGCCCTGGGTCCAGGACCGGGTGGGGCGGGGCGGGGCGGGGTCACCCAAGGCCCCGCCTCTGGCGTCACGACCTCCCCGGGGGCGTTACCCCCGCCCCGCGCTCCAGGTAGCGGCGGCCCGCGGCCCGCGGGCCGGGGCGGGGGCGGGGCGAGGGCGGAGCGGAGGGGCGTTCCCACGGCCCCGCCCCGCCGCCGCCGCCTGTGATGTCACAATCGCGGCCGGCCGCGGCGTTCCCGGGGCGGCCTGGGCGCGGGGCGGCGAGGCGGCGAGGCGGCGAGCGACGCGGGCTCCTGAGTCATGGCCCTCCCCCGGCCCCTCCTCTCCCGCGCCCGCGCCGGGCCCCCCCGCAGGGGCTAGCGCGCGCCGCGGCTCCGAGGGGGCGGGGCTGCCGGGATGGCTGGGCCCCCGTCGGCTCCTCCGCCGGGCTCGCCCTTGTACCTGCGGAGGCAGGCGCCCTGCCCGCAGTGCTCATGGGGCATGGAGGAGAAGGCGGCGGCCAGCGCGGGCTGCCCGGAGCCGCCGGGTCCCCCGAGGGCCGCCGCCGTCCCGTGCTTCGGCGTATCCGTGGACCAAGACGACATCCTCCCGGGCGCCCTGCGCCTCATCCAGGAGCTGCGGCCGCACTGGAAGCCCGAGCAAGTTCGGACCAAGGTAGCCAAGCGGGCGCGGGGACCGGGATGGGGCCCTGCCGGGGCTAGAACGGGGATACGTGGCCGTCTGTCCGTGCATCCTTCCGGGTGTCGATCACAGGGGCACGCGGCAGCTGCGCAGGCGAGGTTGAAATGGTGGTGTGTGTGCGCGTGTTTTTCACCATTTTGGTCCCAAAGCAAAGATAGGCTCCCACCTTCCCTAGCCCTCTGCACACAGCACCCCTCTGGGGCTCTCGGCACGCCGGAGATCCGCCTGCCCACGGTCAGTGCGCGGCGCGTGCGGGCCCCACCCCCTGTCGCCGCGTGCTGGTGCCCCTCACTGCCCAGAAGCGGTTGGCCAGCCCACTCTGAAACCGGAGGCAGAAACTTTCAAGGGAACCCCCGGCCCCGTTACACACACACACTCCCACTCACACTCATATTGCTGCCCCTTCTCCACCCCATGGTGGGAGCAAAGTTTCCAGGCTGAAACGGCCCCTGCTGGGTCCTGGAGTCACCCTATGGAATTCCGGCCGGCCCTGAGCTCCTGTGCTGGGTGCCAGGGCTCATCGCGGCCGCAGGCTCTGGCTCAGCTCCCCTCGCACAGGGCGCCTTTCCAGCCCCAGCTGGGTGCACTCTCAGGGTCCCAGATGTGGGCAGAGCCTCAGGCAGACTCCACTCCCCAGCCACCTGCATCCTCTGAAAAGAGTCTCACCTGCCTGCCCACCTTCTCCCTGCTCTGGGAGCTGCCTGTGAAGGAAGGTGCCCTGGATGGTAGAGGCGCCATGCTGATGGGCCTTCTGGGTGGAGAATGGCAAGGTCTGGACCAAGTGTAGAGGCTGAGAGACCCCTCTTGGGGGAGGGGTTGGATGGGTGGGTAACATTTTCAAAATAAAAGACACACTTTGGTGTGAGGTGGTCAAAGTATCAAGCAGGCCAGAGGTTAATTCTAGCACTAACCTGACATGCTATCTGCCAGGCCCTCCCCTCTCTGGGCCTGTTTCCCCACCTGGAATTGGTTCAGATGTCCTCTAAGGCCTGTCCGCCTCTGTCACACTGTGCCCCATAAATTCCATGGTGTGTCCCTTCCTCCTTGTAACCATACCCAGAGAACCCAGTCTTCCAGCCCAGGGTCTGTTGCCTCTCCTGTTACCAGCCCTGGGGTGGGTGCCACCTCAGTGCCCTCCTGTACCTCTGCCACTGGAGGTATGGCAGAGAACCCTCTGGCAGAGAGGCAGGTGCGTCAGGATGTACTCATCCTGGGAAACTCCCAGCCCTCCTCTGCCATATCTGGTCCATGGAGGTTTCTTTCAGGGTTGGGATGGAGGAGTAAAAGAGTGGGAGGGGCTTCACCTACCCTCCACGTACTGTGGAAATTCCTCCACTGCCAAACCCACGTACTAGAGCCGACCCAGGTAAAGTGAGGCTGCCAGGGGGCGGAGCTCAGGCTGCCATGTCTTCCTGAAACACTCTAGTCTGCCCGGAGCGCTGGGGACACGGGAGAGCACCAGGCACAGTGCTGAGCTCTATCGAGAGCGCTGAAGGCCTGGGGGCTCTGTGGGGCTATGCTCAGCATTCAAATGAGCACCCTGTGCTGGAGCTGGGGTGCTAGGGGGCAGGAGCAGAGCCCCTGCTCCACACACCCTTGCACTGCCCTCTCCCTATGCCAGCGCTTCACCGATGGCATCACCAACAAGCTGGTGGCCTGCTACGTGGAGGAAGACATGCAGGACTGTGTGCTGGTACGGGTGTACGGGGAGCGGACGGAGCTGCTGGTGGACCGGGAGAACGAGGTCAGGAACTTCCAGCTGCTGCGAGCACATGGCTGCGCCCCCCAACTCTACTGCACCTTCCAGAACGGGCTGTGCTACGAGTACATGCGGGGCGTGGCCCTGGGACCTGAGCACATCCGCGAGCCCCGGCTCTTCAGGTGAGAAGGGGGCCCAGGGCCTATTCATCCGCACTGTTCCTCAGGCCTTGGGTTGGCGCTTGCCTCAGTGCAGTGAAGTCCATGAATGGGGGTCCTCACATCTGTGAAGTCCCTTAAATTGTATGGGAAATGTGGGTGTTGATGTGCATTGCTCTGCAGGGAGGCGCTATGGCTTTCTGTAGATTTCTGCTGGGGTCTGCTGGAAAGATGAGTTCTTGGGGAGGCAACAGGGATTTGGTGCATGTGGGCCCAAAATGCAGCAGGGATCCGCTTCCTGGCCCTGCCTCAGCCCTGTGCCCACCCCAAGACTGACCTGGAAACAACTTGTAGCCTTGGAAATGAAATCTGAGCTAAATCCCCAGAGTGCTCAGGGCTTTCTGCCCCTCCCCTCCTGCCAAGAGCTCGGGGCGTGCTGGGAGCACAGTGGTTTTATCATCAGCCCAGAGACTCCCCCAGTCTGAGCCTCGCCCAGGTTCCCTGACAAGAGGGAAGCCCAGGTTCAGGGAGCTGCTGAGACTTCTTCCAGAGGCTCATTAGAACCTGTGGCCCCTGGGGAGCCCCTCCCATTAAGTGCCTGGGTGTCTAGAACCCAGGAACTCAACTCAGTCTCCAAGCCCCGTGGATGCCTCTGTGGGGTTTGGAAAGGGCCGAGCCAAGGAAGAGCCCGTTGTGCGTTCTCTCTCCTCACTGTGCTGGGCCAGGTGTCAGCTGTGTCTACCCTCCTCCAGTGCACGCCCGCCTGCAGGGCACTCAGGTAACAGGGTAAGGCCCCAGGCAGGCTGAGGTTTACTCCTGACACAGGGGGTCTGTCTGAGATATATCCTGTCCCACCCAAGGGGAAGGAGCCTTCCAAATACCGAGGAGAAGCAATGATGTCCACCTAGGGAGCAGACCAATAAGTTTCTCGAGCCCGTCACCCAGTTAACCTCAAGTTAGTGCACCTGGCCCTATTTGCGAAGAAACCCTGGCAGGCCATTTAGGGACTCAGAGGGGCATCTGAGAGCCCTTCCCCAGCCGGTGCTCCTGAGCATTGCCTCTGGAGCTGGTCCGCGTTGAGTTGTATGTTGTAGGTGTGTGCGCGCCTGGAGGGGCAGGGACCTTCAAACCCATGCAAGGGTTTTTCTATGAACAGCTCCAAACGTGCCCAGCCTCTAGACAAGAGGTCAGAGCAAGGCAGGAGGTGGGGGACCCCTGTCCTGGCTTCTCCCAGCTCTCCTTCAGTCTCATGCAAATAAGCTCAAATATCGGCAGGTCCTCACCACCCCCAGTCCCCTGCCACCCCTGTGCACGCTGATGCTGCCACTCCTTCTCTCACAGAAACAGTTACCGTTGTCAGGAAGGCTGAGGATGGATTCAGGTTTGATGATAAGGAGAACTTTACATTTGGGGGAGAGCCAGGAACTGGTGTGGGGGTAGGAGGGAGGCCCTTTCCTAATGGTTCTCCCAGGAGAGACCATTACTTTCTGGGGTGAAGCTGGATCTCTGAAGGCCTTGAGGAGCCACTGTCCACGTTCCCTGGGACCCCATCTTGCCTGCAGCGGCTTTGCCGCAAAAAAATGCTGAGTGTTGAGGTTACTTTCATTGCTTTTTCAGACAACAGCCCTATTGATATTCAAGGAAACGCTCTGTTCATGCTCTATTCGGAATCTTCCTTTGGGAAGTGAAGGCCTGAGCCTCAGGTCTGCCTCCCCCGCCTCGCCCCAACCCTGGCGGCTCCTTGGGCCCCAGGGCCTCCAGCCTCTGAAAGCACAGCCTCCATCTCTCACCCACTGGGCAGCTGCACACCCCCTGCCCCTCCATACTTTGGGAGGTAGGAGCCCGGGGGGCTTCCGGAGGTGCCCCTCGGCTGCCCAGTTATCCTGTTGGGTGATGGCCTGCCCGTTCCCAGGACCTGGCAAGGGAGGGGTGCCCCTGGAACAGCTTGGTAACAAGGTTTCAAATAGCCAATGCCTTTGTTGTCCTTCCCAGTGATTATTATTCGAGCAACAGGCAGAGGCGAAGGAAGCTTGAATGTTGGAAGCTTGGCAGCCCGGCTGGGGGTGGGGCTCCAGAAGGGAGCGCTGGCAGAGGCCTGGGGGAGCCCAGCCGGGACCCTGGGCCTCAGACGCCCAGTGCCTTATCAAGGCCCGCCCTCTCTGACCGGCCAGTCCTCCGTCCACCCCCGCCCACTCCCAGCAGCCCTCCCCAGTCCTGCTTTCTCCTCCTCACCACCCCCGCCTGCTCTCCGGGGACCTTGGATAACGTCCACAGGAGAACTTGGAAATAGAACCCTGGTTTGTTTTGCGTCCTTGGCACCCAGCCGCCAGCATCAACTCCCTGCTGCAGAGGAAGGGGCTGCCCTGGGTGGGCCTGCTTCCCTCCCCACCTTGGCCAGGCTGATAAGAGGTGGGCATTTCTGCCCTGCCTGGTGTCACCATTCCCTGATCCCTTGGTGCCCACCTCGTTCTGAGGGCATGGGTCAGAGTACACGGTGGAAGGAGGGACACCTCCCCCATTCCCAGGTGATCCCTCGGTCCCCAGGGATTGCTGTGGGTACATGACCTTGGGGTGAGGCTGGGTCACTGACCTGTGGCCAGTTACCCACTGCTTTGCCCTTCCCCTGCCTGAAGCAGCCCCAGGTTTTCTGGAAAGGGCACTGCTGGGCTAAAGGCCTTGTCTCATTTCATGCCTTCTGCTGAGACCTTCCTTGTGCAGGACTGAGAGCTCCTATAAGATCTGTAATAGCCCCACACTCGGTCCTCTCTCCTGGTAGACCCCGTACGGCCTCTTTCTGGTCAAGAGCAAATGAACCAAAGAGGGCTAGCCCCACACTGATGCTTTCCCCGTCCTGTTTTCTGTAGGCTAATCGCCTTAGAAATGGCGAAGATTCACACCATCCACGCCAACGGCAGCCTGCCCAGGCCCACGCTCTGGCACAAGATGCACAGTTATTTCACCCTTGTGAAGAGTGAGATCAACCCCAGGTACAATGATCTGGGGGGGTTCCAGGCTGCCACTGTCTTTATTGCCTTAATGTGACCCACCCCCCCCCACACACGCTTTTCACTCCATCCCACCCCAGCCGGAAGTTTAGGGCCTCAGTCCTGGTTACAGAGTCTCCAGAGTTGGGCCAACCAACGAAGTCTCAGGAGCTTAGATCCACGGTTTTATTCCTATGTGCTGGTTTCTCCTTGATCGCCTGCTTGTGGCAGGGACTAGAGTCAGCGACAGCGGCTCCTCATTTTACTGGAAGGACTGTGACTGGTTTAGGAAGAAAGCTTCCCAGCACTGTACAGGACAGACTCGGGTGGGAGAGGGGTAGCAAGCTCAGAGACCAAGCTTTGCCCAATGACGGGGGGCCAGTCACAGGCAGGGTTCTGTCTCCCAGCCCAGGGCCTTTCCTACCCGAGTTGTCTTCTGAGCAATGAGAAGCAAGGGCCCAGCCCTCTGAAAATGGGGTGAGGCTGAGTTCAGAGCCAGTCAAAGGAACTTGGCGCATTGGCTGACAAGCCCTTGGGGCATCAAGGCTCCCACTACTTGCCCAGGCACCTCTCATCCCCTGGGGCCCCTGCTCCCCACCTCGTTCAGACTGACAGCTTGCGCTTTGCTGAGAAGGGGTACTCCACCCATCCTGACATCGCCTTTCCCCGGCTAAGATGGGGTTCCCAGACCGTCAACCTGAGAGTCTGTCCAGCCTTCAGACACCTGACTCTCCAGCTTGTCCCTTAGTGCTGAGAAAAGGATGGAGGCACAGAGAAGAGTGGTATCGCCCCCCAAGAGAAGGCAGTAGGGAGTCTCCAACCCTCCATGTTCCCTGCCGGGCTGAACATCACCTTGCTCCAAGTGTTCGTGGGAATAGGGTAGGGAAGAGGTCTCGGGGAAGCGTATCTCCCTCTCCTCTATGACAAGACAGTCATTAACTCTGTCCTGATAGTGCGTCTCTGTCACATACAGGACACATGCATGACTTCATCTGGATCCTCCCCCTTCATAATTATTAGCCACTGCTTTGGGATTATTTGTCCAGGATGGCCCATGTTCACACCTTCCATGTCAAATATTATGTCTAGGACAAGGGTGCCTTCCCCCTTAGGACCAGAACACACAGCCCATGGGGGACAGAATCCTGAGGGTCTCAGCCAGCAGGACCCTCTGATCAGCTAGCCCACCGTTTTCTTTTGACAGATGGAAAAACGGAGGCCCAGAGAGGGGACAGGACTTGCCTAAGGTCATGGCTGACCAGTAGCGGCTCAAGGGCTTGAGTCCAGGTCTGATGGTCAGGCCGGGGCCTCACCACAGCAGCCCCTTTGACTGTGACTTTGGGGGGGTAATCTTGATGGGGGAAGAGTGGTCTCTGGGAAAGAGCCAGTGAGCTCTCTTTGCTCCCGGCACACCTCTGCCCTGGGGCAAATCAAGTTGCCTAACTCCTCTGAGCCTCTTCAGGGGATGATGCCTGCCCGAAACTCCCAAACTGCCCCAAAGCAGGACAACAATGAGCAATCCCTTGGATGAGATGAAGCATTTGAAATCTAGTCTCTGCCTAATAACCCAGATTTAGTCAATCCTTCATTTCACAAACAGTGACTGATTGGGATTTAAAACAATAAAAAATGATGAACAGGCCATTGGCCCTGCCCCCAAGGAGTTTAGAACCATCGGGAAAATAGGACCTGCCTGTGCATAAGGCGGGGTGTGCCTTGCATGCTGGGGGCGGGAGAACCAGGGACAGTCTTCATGGCAGCTGAGAAGGGAGGCCACAGTGGCTAGAGGAGACAGCATGAGCCCGGTTTGTTCGTGGGTGATAAGGTTGAGGTTGGCTGGGGCAGATCTCCAGGAGGGCCTGGGAGGGGTGGGAGGAGATGGGGCTGCAGAGGTGGTTGCAGCTAGATTGTGAGGGGCCTTAAATGCAGGTTAAGGAGCCAAGAGGTATTCAGCTCAGCTGGCCTGGAAAGTCACTGAGAGGGTGTCTGAGCCAGGGCTCAGGTCAGTAACTTGACCGTGACTGTGGTTTAGCAAGAAAGCTTCCCAGCACTGTACAGGACAGACTCGGGTGGGAGAGGGGTAGCAAGGCCCTCTGAGGGAGTGTTGTGATTGAATGGGCAACATTTAGGACCAGGGTTCCCCAGATTTGAGCATGAGAGTCCCCTGGGCCGTTTGCTAAGTGCAGATTCTGGCCTGACCCTGGACACTGATTGGGGGCCTCCCATTAGACCCTAGGAGCCTGCACTCTGACAGGCTCCCCAGGTGACTCTGAGGTAGGGGGACCAAGGAACCACGTCTTGAGGAATACGGACCGAAGGCAGCGTCATCGTGGGGGTGGAGAACAGGGGGTGAGACAGAGACCCGGTGGAAAGAGATGTGGTACCCTTGGTGTTCGGCTGGGCATGGAGGTGTCCAGCCTGCTGGGAGAACGCGGGGTTGATAACTGCTTCAGTGGCATTCAGATGGGTTGAGTGGTGTGAGGGCGAAGGGCACGAGCCAGGAAGCCCTAGAAGGTCCACCGTGGGAGAGGGCACTTTCCCCACCTGATCCCGAGAGCTGAGTGGGCACCGCCAGGCAGCAGCCGCTTCATCAGGGGCCCCCAGGCTTCCCTGGGGAGGAGGGCAGCTCATGGATCACGCCCTGCCACCTCTGGGGGATGGAGGAGTGGCCGGAGCAGTGCCCCTGGGGTGGGAAGGTTCCCTGCCACGGTGTGATCACCAGTCTGCCAGCCCCACGGCCTTGAAGGAGAGCCTAGCGGAGTCAGGGCTGAGGGCAGCAAAGTTGGTCAGGTTTCAGGTGGTCCGGGGAGGGAGTCAGGACAGCGGAGGGAGGCCACCCAAGGGAGATAGAAGGCCTGGATTGTTCCCATGGCAACCATCTGTGTGGCCTTGGGGTGGGTAGTGTGGGGGTCAGATAGGTCAGGGCCTGGGAAACAGGTATCTTGGATGTCAAAGATGTTTTCTAAGCGGGGAACTGGGCAAATCAAAGGAAGGCTCCTAATTCTTATCTTTGGATGGTCTTGGTCCAAGAAAAAAAATCTGAAAAGAAAAAGGGGCCTCTTAAGGAAAGCCAAGATTGAAACACATCTTACACAGACCCGTTAATCCAGACAAAGTCCAGTGAGGATGGAGCGAGGCCTCCCCCAGGTCACCCCTAGCAGAGGCCATCCCGGTCAGGAGGCTCAGCGTGACTCTGGACCCTTGGACAGGCTGAGGACTGCTTTCCTTGGGTGAGGAAGTAGAGAGTAGCTGTGCAAGAGGAATCTGGAAGCTAGAAGGAAAAACTGCCCTTTCTTGAGCCTCAGTTTCCCCAGGGGGTTGGACTGGGGAGCAAAGATCCTCTTTAGCTTTGACCTTCTCAGAGCCTGCCACTGTCTGTGTCCAGGGGCAACACGGGGTGCCTTAGTTGCCACCTACTCTACTCCATGTTTTAGCCACTGGGTTGTATGAGGGGGAGATGGGGCGTCCTGAGAGAGGGTCGAGAGGACGTACCTCATTTTCATCCTCCCACACCTACTCAGAGCCCTGGACCAGAAAGCAAACAGGAGACATGAATGGGGGTCAGTCCCCAGCCTCCTCCCATCCACCCGTTGGTGGTTCTGAGGTTGTAAGGGCTGTGCTGTTTGGCCGTTCAGTGTACACAGACCTGTGTGCCTCCTGGGGACCAAAGTTCAGAGCATCTGAGCACAGTGTACCCTCACCAACTTGCACATGGCCCTGACCGTGTCACTGGTTGGCCTATTCGTTCCCCAACACGTATGTCAAGGGCAGGGCCTGACGTACCCCTGGCCTTGCGGGCATGAGCCCGAGGGGCGATTTGCTCTCCTCCATGGGCCTAAGTGGTCTCTCTGCGGGATGAGAAGCTAGACTTCCTGGCCTCTGGTCCTTTCCACCTGTGACACCGGCAGCTAGAGGGTGAGGGAGGCACAGGACAGGACGCTCCTCTGCCTCCTCAAGATGCCGCCAGCCCCTCCACTGTAGTTTGGGCGCCGCAGAATTCGGCAGGGAGAGCGTGCTTTGAGAGCAACGCCTGGCCCCAGGAGTGTTTCCGGGCTATTTGTGGCTCTCCCGGCTGCCCTTGTCCTTGTGCTCTGGGGTGCCTGAGTTTGGACACATTCTCACCTCCACTGTCCTCTGCCTGGGCCGCCTCCCTCCCCTTCCCTCCTCCCCCTTTCACCTAGGAGCAGGATGGCCTTAGGTCAGGGACTAATAGGCTTTGCGAAATGCTTTAATGCCCACACTGTTCTGATGAGCTCAGGGTAAACATAGGAAGTCAGGTGGCCAGGAAGCCTTTGCACCATTTTACAGATGACGGAAGTGAGGGTCTGAAAGGTGGGCCATTTGTTCAAGGCCGCTCTGCAGTAAAAGGTGTGATGGGGCCAGAGCTCAGAGCTCTTGAGGCCAAGCAGCTGCCCGTCTGTTGTCAGCCCTCCCTCCACCGCTACCTTTCTCGCCACTGTCCAGCCTGACTGCAGATGTCCCGAAGGTAGAGGTGTTGGAGCGGGAGCTGGTCTGGCTGAAGGAGCACCTGTCCCAGCTGGACTCCCCTGTGGTCTTTTGTCACAATGACCTGCTCTGCAAGAATATCATCTATGACAGCACCAAAGGTACAGCTTGGTGGCCCTGGCTGGGCAGCCGCGCGGCTTGGGCTGATTGAGCCTCTGCCTTCAAGGTTCTAGTCCTTGGGCTGGGACGCGGACAAGCAAAACGAGCCCTTCTAGTTCAGCTCGTAACGTAGGAGAGAGAGGGAAAAGGACACAAGAAATTTCCACTTAGAAAATCCCATGCCGGGAACAAACTCACACTCGGGGTTTGTGGACGGCCCCCGCATTCTCCACATGAGGGCACCCCAGCCATCCCCCCAGCAGTATGTCGGGCTTCCAGGAACATCTTGGCTGCCCAGGCCCTCACAGAGAGGCTCCCCATGGTGCTGACAAGAGCTGCACCCCCAGAGGGACTCAGCTTTACTCCTGGCCCTCGCCATATGCCCAGCACAGGTGTCTAGATGGGGAAAGGGACGGCTAGATGGGGGGAAGGGCGGACGGACAAAGGAGCAGACAGGGGCCAGCAGAGGAGGCTGCCACCCAGGAGGGCGGGTCAGGCTGGGTGACTGCGGAAGCCAGGGCAAGTCAGTGGGTGCGTCCCACAGGTCTGCGGAAGCTTGGCGAGGCCCCGCTCCGGCTCTCCCGGGACCAGCCCTCACTGCCTCTCTTCTGCCTTACAGGCCATGTGCGCTTCATTGACTATGAATATGCTGGCTACAACTACCAAGCTTTTGACATCGGCAACCATTTCAACGAGTTTGCAGGTGAGGGGGCATTGCTATGTGGCCTATGTCCAAGATACCCTCCCTATGACAGAGGGCCAGGTCTGGGGGTCCTGGTGCAAGGGGGTCCTGAGCTTGGGGCATGGAGGCTAGACAGCCCCTGACCTCTGAAACATCCCAGCTTGAGTGGATCAGGCACACTGACCCTGCCTTGAGAGAGCTCCGGGTCTCATGGGGGAGGTGGGACCCCATGCCCAGAGCAGACCCCTGCTAGCCCATACGGCAGTTTGGTACAAATGAGGAAAGCATGTCCTCTGTAGGATCCCTGAGGATACTCGGCTTGGCACGTGAGTTAGAAAAGCACCCTTTCCCCTGGGCGGCCACAGCCCACACCAGCCGGGCCAGTGTGGGACAGCCTCAGCCTCTACTTACCCTTTTTGTCTAAGCTCTTTTATGTCCAGTACAAGCTGTGTGATTAAAAATAAGGGCTGTGCATGCAGAGGAGGAGCAGGACTAGCTGTCAGGAGCTATTTGCCTGGTGGCTGATGAGAATGATGTAGGTGGAATTAGTTAAAAGCGTGCACTCTGCAGCTTGACTCCCCAGGTTCAAATCCTGGCTTTGCTACCTGCTAGCTGTGTGGTGCTCAGGCAGGTTACTGCTTGCCTGTGCCTCTGTGACCTGGAGACCAGGACAGTACCTACTCCACACACACACACACAGGTATGGCACACGCCACCCATCGCTGGCATCTGCTGCTGCTGGTAGGCAGGGCGGGGAGAGGGGCAGGTGGTGGAGTAGAGGAGCATGGGGGAGGGGAGTCCCAGGGGGAGGTGGTTGTTCTACAAAGACGTGCTGTGCACAATAGAATCACTTGTGGAAAGGAAGCAGGGCAAGTTTTTCTAGCTTGAGGGCTTAGTTGATAAAAAAAACAATTAGATGGGACGGAGGACGCCACTCACGGATAGAACTGGATGCTGGTGCAGGGAGGGGTCTCACAGCTGGCAGTGTGGGGTGCTTAGCATGATGTGGCCAGCTAGCCCGGGGGGCTCAGGGTAGGTGAGGCACACCCAGGCCCGCTGTAGAGCCACCACCTGGCCCCACCTCAGCCACTCCCCAGCCCAATCAAGACCAATTGTGTCCCTTCTGGACCCCCGGGTGACCAGGTCTGTCGAGCACTGATTGTAGCTGAGGGTATATGACTCCCCAGGGTGGTCACCAGCTGCACTGAGGAGCCCAAGGGACAGTGAGGCCTCAGCTGAGCAGAGTAGCTGGGCTGTGGGGTGTGGCGCGGAGCAGAGCCTGGCACCGGCAGAGCGCTGGGCCTGAGGGTGCTCAGCCGCCAGACCCGCTGGCCTTTCCAGAAGGGATCCTTCTTAAGTGCTTTACGCCCTCATGCACCCCACAGAGCAAAGTCCAGCTGGAATTTCTCCCAAGGGGCAGATTGCTTCTTGCTCCCAGGTGCAAAATGAGAGGAAGAACCTAGCAGGGGGCAGTAGGAAGGCAAGAGAGGAGATGGGGGGCTAGGGAGAGGGGCCTCCCGGGTCCTTGGTGCACGGGGACCTAGCACAGGGAGCCAGGGGATCAGGGTCCCAGCCCTGAACTCACCTGACTGGCTGTATGACCCAGAGCAAAGTTCTTCTCTTTGGCCTTCATTTCTACATCTGTGCAAGGAGATTCTTTTCTAGCCATACTGTTCAGGCCCCAGGACACTGAGGGCATGTTCCTCCAGGAATATAAGGGAAGCTTGGCAAGGCCAGGCAGGCAAGAAGAGGGAGACAGAGACTGGGGGGGAGAGCGGCCCAGGCACGGTCCTGTCTTAATTGCTGCTTCCTTGCCAGCTCTGGAGCCAAGACCTCTGCCCCCATGGCCAGAGTGCAGCTGGTGCATACTGGGCCGGCAGCATGAGGACTCCAGGAGGGCAGGACTAGAAGGGATCCAGGCTGCCTAGTCCTGGGGTTCCAAGCCTGGCTGCATTTCTGAATTCACCTGGAGAATTGGATAGGGGATGGGGGTGCCGGGAATCTGTGTTTACCAAGCTCGCCAAGTGATGTTTTTAAGTAGCCAGTTCAACACTGGCCCGGGAAGCAATGGTCGAGACACACGCATTAAGCCTGGCCACTCATTTTACTGGTGAAGAGATTAAGGCCAGTGAGAGGAAAGGGTTTGTCCGTGGTTAACTGGAGGTTAGCGCTAGTCCTGAGCCAACTAGGCCCTGATCCATGTTTTGTACCAACACCTTCTGTGCGCTGGGGCTTTGTGGAGGGGGATGCAGTGGTGGTGTCTTAGGGGGTCCCCCCGTCACGCCCAGGGCCAGTTGGCCTCTCCATGTGCTTTCCTCCACCCCAGCTGGGATAGGGCTGGACCCTCCACATGCAGTAAACTTGGCGGTCAAAGAAGCTGCCTTCCTAGGTCCAGCCTCGCAGGGCATAGACCGTCGGGGGGTGAGCAGGGAGCCCCTCCTGAGCTGCAGGAGGCCCCCAGGGGAGCCTCTTCCCCGGTGACTTCTGTGCGGCCCCCTCAGGTGTGAGCGAGGTGGACTACAGCCGGTACCCCGCGCGGGAGACCCAGCTGCAGTGGCTGCACTACTACCTGCGGGCCCAGAAGGGCATGGCCGCGAGCCCCAGGGAGGTGGAGCGGCTCTACGTGCAAGTCAACAAGTTTGCACTGGTGGGTGCTTGCCTGGGGGGCAGGAGGAGGGTTCAGGGCCGCCCTGGGGCTAGGGCGAGGTCCCGGGTGCCCCCTAATACTAAGGTGCCCGGTTCCCTGCTTTCCAGAACCAAAACTAGTCTCGGTTCTCTCCTTCCTGCAGAACTACTTCCAAGAAAGACCCCAGCTTCCTGTTTTATTAATTCTCTTTGGACAAGTAGTCTGTCCTGTGTCTAACCTTAGTCTTCACCCTGTGGTTAAACACACCCCTTGTTTTTGCCCCTGGAGGGGGTAAAGAATGCCCTTCCTGACCCTCCTCGTTCGCGGCCCCCACTGCCCCAGCTCTGGGTAAGCCTTTCCCGTCAGCCCCTTCCTGCTCAGATTCCTGGGCTGTCAGTTCTCCATCTTGAGTGCGCTCATCGCAGGTACAAGGTTTATGCCAGGTCCCCACTGGTGTACGCCCGGGGGATTGCTGACCCGTCTTATTAATGTCAGCCACGCATAAGCAAGAAGACAAGTCAGCTGCCGTGAATCTCACGATACTCCAGGAATTAAGCACAGTCTTTACTTACCTGCTATTTTGGATTGCCTGTGTACTGTCCTCAGTGGCACAAAACTGACTCTCCAGCAGGCTCTTCCCCATGCCTTCCTCCTGCTAACTTCTCAGTGATCATGTGTCCTTATTCCTGGATCTGTGCCCCCTTTAAGTCCCGAAGAGGGCCGAGCATGGAGGGCGGTACTGTAGTGCCCGCGGCAGAGCAAGCAGGGCTTGGAGTGCACAGACACACGGGGGGGCGGGGCAGAGAGCCACAGGGGTACAGGATCCTGGCCTGGGAAGGAAACAGTTTCACTGCTGTTTGCCAGAGGCAACAGGACGCACAGCTCCCTGGCTTCTTGGGCCTGGGGTGACCTGAGCCCTGGGGGTGCCTCTGGCTACAGGGAGGGCAGTAGAATGCTTGNCTGGTTACAGAGTCTCCAGAGTTGGGCCAACCAACGAAGTCTCAGGAGCTTAGATCCACGGTTTTATTCCTATGTGCTGGTTTCTCCTTGATCGCCTGCTTGTGGCAGGGACTAGAGTCAGCGACAGCGGCTCCTCATTTTACTGGAAGGACTGTGACTGGTTTAGGAAGAAAGCTTCCCAGCACTGTACAGGACAGACTCGGGTGGGAGAGGGGTAGCAAGCTCAGAGACCAAGCTTTGCCCAATGACGGGGGGCCAGTCACAGGCAGGGTTCTGTCTCCCAGCCCAGGGCCTTTCCTACCCGAGTTGTCTTCTGAGCAATGAGAAGCAAGGGCCCAGCCCTCTGAAAATGGGGTGAGGCTGAGTTCAGAGCCAGTCAAAGGAACTTGGCGCATTGGCTGACAAGCCCTTGGGGCATCAAGGCTCCCACTACTTGCCCAGGCACCTCTCATCCCCTGGGGCCCCTGCTCCCCACCTCGTTCAGACTGACAGCTTGCGCTTTGCTGAGAAGGGGTACTCCACCCATCCTGACATCGCCTTTCCCCGGCTAAGATGGGGTTCCCAGACCGTCAACCTGAGAGTCTGTCCAGCCTTCAGACACCTGACTCTCCAGCTTGTCCCTTAGTGCTGAGAAAAGGATGGAGGCACAGAGAAGAGTGGTATCGCCCCCCAAGAGAAGGCAGTAGGGAGTCTCCAACCCTCCATGTTCCCTGCCGGGCTGAACATCACCTTGCTCCAAGTGTTCGTGGGAATAGGGTAGGGAAGAGGTCTCGGGGAAGCGTATCTCCCTCTCCTCTATGACAAGACAGTCATTAACTCTGTCCTGATAGTGCGTCTCTGTCACATACAGGACACATGCATGACTTCATCTGGATCCTCCCCCTTCATAATTATTAGCCACTGCTTTGGGATTATTTGTCCAGGATGGCCCATGTTCACACCTTCCATGTCAAATATTATGTCTAGGACAAGGGTGCCTTCCCCCTTAGGACCAGAACACACAGCCCATGGGGGACAGAATCCTGAGGGTCTCAGCCAGCAGGACCCTCTGATCAGCTAGCCCACCGTTTTCTTTTGACAGATGGAAAAACGGAGGCCCAGAGAGGGGACAGGACTTGCCTAAGGTCATGGCTGACCAGTAGCGGCTCAAGGGCTTGAGTCCAGGTCTGATGGTCAGGCCGGGGCCTCACCACAGCAGCCCCTTTGACTGTGACTTTGGGGGGGTAATCTTGATGGGGGAAGAGTGGTCTCTGGGAAAGAGCCAGTGAGCTCTCTTTGCTCCCGGCACACCTCTGCCCTGGGGCAAATCAAGTTGCCTAACTCCTCTGAGCCTCTTCAGGGGATGATGCCTGCCCGAAACTCCCAAACTGCCCCAAAGCAGGACAACAATGAGCAATCCCTTGGATGAGATGAAGCATTTGAAATCTAGTCTCTGCCTAATAACCCAGATTTAGTCAATCCTTCATTTCACAAACAGTGACTGATTGGGATTTAAAACAATAAAAAATGATGAACAGGCCATTGGCCCTGCCCCCAAGGAGTTTAGAACCATCGGGAAAATAGGACCTGCCTGTGCATAAGGCGGGGTGTGCCTTGCATGCTGGGGGCGGGAGAACCAGGGACAGTCTTCATGGCAGCTGAGAAGGGAGGCCACAGTGGCTAGAGGAGACAGCATGAGCCCGGTTTGTTCGTGGGTGATAAGGTTGAGGTTGGCTGGGGCAGATCTCCAGGAGGGCCTGGGAGGGGTGGGAGGAGATGGGGCTGCAGAGGTGGTTGCAGCTAGATTGTGAGGGGCCTTAAATGCAGGTTAAGGAGCCAAGAGGTATTCAGCTCAGCTGGCCTGGAAAGTCACTGAGAGGGTGTCTGAGCCAGGGCTCAGGTCAGTAACTTGACCGTGACTGTGGTTTAGCAAGAAAGCTTCCCAGCACTGTACAGGACAGACTCGGGTGGGAGAGGGGTAGCAAGGCCCTCTGAGGGAGTGTTGTGATTGAATGGGCAACATTTAGGACCAGGGTTCCCCAGATTTGAGCATGAGAGTCCCCTGGGCCGTTTGCTAAGTGCAGATTCTGGCCTGACCCTGGACACTGATTGGGGGCCTCCCATTAGACCCTAGGAGCCTGCACTCTGACAGGCTCCCCAGGTGACTCTGAGGTAGGGGGACCAAGGAACCACGTCTTGAGGAATACGGACCGAAGGCAGCGTCATCGTGGGGGTGGAGAACAGGGGGTGAGACAGAGACCCGGTGGAAAGAGATGTGGTACCCTTGGTGTTCGGCTGGGCATGGAGGTGTCCAGCCTGCTGGGAGAACGCGGGGTTGATAACTGCTTCAGTGGCATTCAGATGGGTTGAGTGGTGTGAGGGCGAAGGGCACGAGCCAGGAAGCCCTAGAAGGTCCACCGTGGGAGAGGGCACTTTCCCCACCTGATCCCGAGAGCTGAGTGGGCACCGCCAGGCAGCAGCCGCTTCATCAGGGGCCCCCAGGCTTCCCTGGGGAGGAGGGCAGCTCATGGATCACGCCCTGCCACCTCTGGGGGATGGAGGAGTGGCCGGAGCAGTGCCCCTGGGGTGGGAAGGTTCCCTGCCACGGTGTGATCACCAGTCTGCCAGCCCCACGGCCTTGAAGGAGAGCCTAGCGGAGTCAGGGCTGAGGGCAGCAAAGTTGGTCAGGTTTCAGGTGGTCCGGGGAGGGAGTCAGGACAGCGGAGGGAGGCCACCCAAGGGAGATAGAAGGCCTGGATTGTTCCCATGGCAACCATCTGTGTGGCCTTGGGGTGGGTAGTGTGGGGGTCAGATAGGTCAGGGCCTGGGAAACAGGTATCTTGGATGTCAAAGATGTTTTCTAAGCGGGGAACTGGGCAAATCAAAGGAAGGCTCCTAATTCTTATCTTTGGATGGTCTTGGTCCAAGAAAAAAAATCTGAAAAGAAAAAGGGGCCTCTTAAGGAAAGCCAAGATTGAAACACATCTTACACAGACCCGTTAATCCAGACAAAGTCCAGTGAGGATGGAGCGAGGCCTCCCCCAGGTCACCCCTAGCAGAGGCCATCCCGGTCAGGAGGCTCAGCGTGACTCTGGACCCTTGGACAGGCTGAGGACTGCTTTCCTTGGGTGAGGAAGTAGAGAGTAGCTGTGCAAGAGGAATCTGGAAGCTAGAAGGAAAAACTGCCCTTTCTTGAGCCTCAGTTTCCCCAGGGGGTTGGACTGGGGAGCAAAGATCCTCTTTAGCTTTGACCTTCTCAGAGCCTGCCACTGTCTGTGTCCAGGGGCAACACGGGGTGCCTTAGTTGCCACCTACTCTACTCCATGTTTTAGCCACTGGGTTGTATGAGGGGGAGATGGGGCGTCCTGAGAGAGGGTCGAGAGGACGTACCTCATTTTCATCCTCCCACACCTACTCAGAGCCCTGGACCAGAAAGCAAACAGGAGACATGAATGGGGGTCAGTCCCCAGCCTCCTCCCATCCACCCGTTGGTGGTTCTGAGGTTGTAAGGGCTGTGCTGTTTGGCCGTTCAGTGTACACAGACCTGTGTGCCTCCTGGGGACCAAAGTTCAGAGCATCTGAGCACAGTGTACCCTCACCAACTTGCACATGGCCCTGACCGTGTCACTGGTTGGCCTATTCGTTCCCCAACACGTATGTCAAGGGCAGGGCCTGACGTACCCCTGGCCTTGCGGGCATGAGCCCGAGGGGCGATTTGCTCTCCTCCATGGGCCTAAGTGGTCTCTCTGCGGGATGAGAAGCTAGACTTCCTGGCCTCTGGTCCTTTCCACCTGTGACACCGGCAGCTAGAGGGTGAGGGAGGCACAGGACAGGACGCTCCTCTGCCTCCTCAAGATGCCGCCAGCCCCTCCACTGTAGTTTGGGCGCCGCAGAATTCGGCAGGGAGAGCGTGCTTTGAGAGCAACGCCTGGCCCCAGGAGTGTTTCCGGGCTATTTGTGGCTCTCCCGGCTGCCCTTGTCCTTGTGCTCTGGGGTGCCTGAGTTTGGACACATTCTCACCTCCACTGTCCTCTGCCTGGGCCGCCTCCCTCCCCTTCCCTCCTCCCCCTTTCACCTAGGAGCAGGATGGCCTTAGGTCAGGGACTAATAGGCTTTGCGAAATGCTTTAATGCCCACACTGTTCTGATGAGCTCAGGGTAAACATAGGAAGTCAGGTGGCCAGGAAGCCTTTGCACCATTTTACAGATGACGGAAGTGAGGGTCTGAAAGGTGGGCCATTTGTTCAAGGCCGCTCTGCAGTAAAAGGTGTGATGGGGCCAGAGCTCAGAGCTCTTGAGGCCAAGCAGCTGCCCGTCTGTTGTCAGCCCTCCCTCCACCGCTACCTTTCTCGCCACTGTCCAGCCTGACTGCAGATGTCCCGAAGGTAGAGGTGTTGGAGCGGGAGCTGGTCTGGCTGAAGGAGCACCTGTCCCAGCTGGACTCCCCTGTGGTCTTTTGTCACAATGACCTGCTCTGCAAGAATATCATCTATGACAGCACCAAAGGTACAGCTTGGTGGCCCTGGCTGGGCAGCCGCGCGGCTTGGGCTGATTGAGCCTCTGCCTTCAAGGTTCTAGTCCTTGGGCTGGGACGCGGACAAGCAAAACGAGCCCTTCTAGTTCAGCTCGTAACGTAGGAGAGAGAGGGAAAAGGACACAAGAAATTTCCACTTAGAAAATCCCATGCCGGGAACAAACTCACACTCGGGGTTTGTGGACGGCCCCCGCATTCTCCACATGAGGGCACCCCAGCCATCCCCCCAGCAGTATGTCGGGCTTCCAGGAACATCTTGGCTGCCCAGGCCCTCACAGAGAGGCTCCCCATGGTGCTGACAAGAGCTGCACCCCCAGAGGGACTCAGCTTTACTCCTGGCCCTCGCCATATGCCCAGCACAGGTGTCTAGATGGGGAAAGGGACGGCTAGATGGGGGGAAGGGCGGACGGACAAAGGAGCAGACAGGGGCCAGCAGAGGAGGCTGCCACCCAGGAGGGCGGGTCAGGCTGGGTGACTGCGGAAGCCAGGGCAAGTCAGTGGGTGCGTCCCACAGGTCTGCGGAAGCTTGGCGAGGCCCCGCTCCGGCTCTCCCGGGACCAGCCCTCACTGCCTCTCTTCTGCCTTACAGGCCATGTGCGCTTCATTGACTATGAATATGCTGGCTACAACTACCAAGCTTTTGACATCGGCAACCATTTCAACGAGTTTGCAGGTGAGGGGGCATTGCTATGTGGCCTATGTCCAAGATACCCTCCCTATGACAGAGGGCCAGGTCTGGGGGTCCTGGTGCAAGGGGGTCCTGAGCTTGGGGCATGGAGGCTAGACAGCCCCTGACCTCTGAAACATCCCAGCTTGAGTGGATCAGGCACACTGACCCTGCCTTGAGAGAGCTCCGGGTCTCATGGGGGAGGTGGGACCCCATGCCCAGAGCAGACCCCTGCTAGCCCATACGGCAGTTTGGTACAAATGAGGAAAGCATGTCCTCTGTAGGATCCCTGAGGATACTCGGCTTGGCACGTGAGTTAGAAAAGCACCCTTTCCCCTGGGCGGCCACAGCCCACACCAGCCGGGCCAGTGTGGGACAGCCTCAGCCTCTACTTACCCTTTTTGTCTAAGCTCTTTTATGTCCAGTACAAGCTGTGTGATTAAAAATAAGGGCTGTGCATGCAGAGGAGGAGCAGGACTAGCTGTCAGGAGCTATTTGCCTGGTGGCTGATGAGAATGATGTAGGTGGAATTAGTTAAAAGCGTGCACTCTGCAGCTTGACTCCCCAGGTTCAAATCCTGGCTTTGCTACCTGCTAGCTGTGTGGTGCTCAGGCAGGTTACTGCTTGCCTGTGCCTCTGTGACCTGGAGACCAGGACAGTACCTACTCCACACACACACACACAGGTATGGCACACGCCACCCATCGCTGGCATCTGCTGCTGCTGGTAGGCAGGGCGGGGAGAGGGGCAGGTGGTGGAGTAGAGGAGCATGGGGGAGGGGAGTCCCAGGGGGAGGTGGTTGTTCTACAAAGACGTGCTGTGCACAATAGAATCACTTGTGGAAAGGAAGCAGGGCAAGTTTTTCTAGCTTGAGGGCTTAGTTGATAAAAAAAACAATTAGATGGGACGGAGGACGCCACTCACGGATAGAACTGGATGCTGGTGCAGGGAGGGGTCTCACAGCTGGCAGTGTGGGGTGCTTAGCATGATGTGGCCAGCTAGCCCGGGGGGCTCAGGGTAGGTGAGGCACACCCAGGCCCGCTGTAGAGCCACCACCTGGCCCCACCTCAGCCACTCCCCAGCCCAATCAAGACCAATTGTGTCCCTTCTGGACCCCCGGGTGACCAGGTCTGTCGAGCACTGATTGTAGCTGAGGGTATATGACTCCCCAGGGTGGTCACCAGCTGCACTGAGGAGCCCAAGGGACAGTGAGGCCTCAGCTGAGCAGAGTAGCTGGGCTGTGGGGTGTGGCGCGGAGCAGAGCCTGGCACCGGCAGAGCGCTGGGCCTGAGGGTGCTCAGCCGCCAGACCCGCTGGCCTTTCCAGAAGGGATCCTTCTTAAGTGCTTTACGCCCTCATGCACCCCACAGAGCAAAGTCCAGCTGGAATTTCTCCCAAGGGGCAGATTGCTTCTTGCTCCCAGGTGCAAAATGAGAGGAAGAACCTAGCAGGGGGCAGTAGGAAGGCAAGAGAGGAGATGGGGGGCTAGGGAGAGGGGCCTCCCGGGTCCTTGGTGCACGGGGACCTAGCACAGGGAGCCAGGGGATCAGGGTCCCAGCCCTGAACTCACCTGACTGGCTGTATGACCCAGAGCAAAGTTCTTCTCTTTGGCCTTCATTTCTACATCTGTGCAAGGAGATTCTTTTCTAGCCATACTGTTCAGGCCCCAGGACACTGAGGGCATGTTCCTCCAGGAATATAAGGGAAGCTTGGCAAGGCCAGGCAGGCAAGAAGAGGGAGACAGAGACTGGGGGGGAGAGCGGCCCAGGCACGGTCCTGTCTTAATTGCTGCTTCCTTGCCAGCTCTGGAGCCAAGACCTCTGCCCCCATGGCCAGAGTGCAGCTGGTGCATACTGGGCCGGCAGCATGAGGACTCCAGGAGGGCAGGACTAGAAGGGATCCAGGCTGCCTAGTCCTGGGGTTCCAAGCCTGGCTGCATTTCTGAATTCACCTGGAGAATTGGATAGGGGATGGGGGTGCCGGGAATCTGTGTTTACCAAGCTCGCCAAGTGATGTTTTTAAGTAGCCAGTTCAACACTGGCCCGGGAAGCAATGGTCGAGACACACGCATTAAGCCTGGCCACTCATTTTACTGGTGAAGAGATTAAGGCCAGTGAGAGGAAAGGGTTTGTCCGTGGTTAACTGGAGGTTAGCGCTAGTCCTGAGCCAACTAGGCCCTGATCCATGTTTTGTACCAACACCTTCTGTGCGCTGGGGCTTTGTGGAGGGGGATGCAGTGGTGGTGTCTTAGGGGGTCCCCCCGTCACGCCCAGGGCCAGTTGGCCTCTCCATGTGCTTTCCTCCACCCCAGCTGGGATAGGGCTGGACCCTCCACATGCAGTAAACTTGGCGGTCAAAGAAGCTGCCTTCCTAGGTCCAGCCTCGCAGGGCATAGACCGTCGGGGGGTGAGCAGGGAGCCCCTCCTGAGCTGCAGGAGGCCCCCAGGGGAGCCTCTTCCCCGGTGACTTCTGTGCGGCCCCCTCAGGTGTGAGCGAGGTGGACTACAGCCGGTACCCCGCGCGGGAGACCCAGCTGCAGTGGCTGCACTACTACCTGCGGGCCCAGAAGGGCATGGCCGCGAGCCCCAGGGAGGTGGAGCGGCTCTACGTGCAAGTCAACAAGTTTGCACTGGTGGGTGCTTGCCTGGGGGGCAGGAGGAGGGTTCAGGGCCGCCCTGGGGCTAGGGCGAGGTCCCGGGTGCCCCCTAATACTAAGGTGCCCGGTTCCCTGCTTTCCAGAACCAAAACTAGTCTCGGTTCTCTCCTTCCTGCAGAACTACTTCCAAGAAAGACCCCAGCTTCCTGTTTTATTAATTCTCTTTGGACAAGTAGTCTGTCCTGTGTCTAACCTTAGTCTTCACCCTGTGGTTAAACACACCCCTTGTTTTTGCCCCTGGAGGGGGTAAAGAATGCCCTTCCTGACCCTCCTCGTTCGCGGCCCCCACTGCCCCAGCTCTGGGTAAGCCTTTCCCGTCAGCCCCTTCCTGCTCAGATTCCTGGGCTGTCAGTTCTCCATCTTGAGTGCGCTCATCGCAGGTACAAGGTTTATGCCAGGTCCCCACTGGTGTACGCCCGGGGGATTGCTGACCCGTCTTATTAATGTCAGCCACGCATAAGCAAGAAGACAAGTCAGCTGCCGTGAATCTCACGATACTCCAGGAATTAAGCACAGTCTTTACTTACCTGCTATTTTGGATTGCCTGTGTACTGTCCTCAGTGGCACAAAACTGACTCTCCAGCAGGCTCTTCCCCATGCCTTCCTCCTGCTAACTTCTCAGTGATCATGTGTCCTTATTCCTGGATCTGTGCCCCCTTTAAGTCCCGAAGAGGGCCGAGCATGGAGGGCGGTACTGTAGTGCCCGCGGCAGAGCAAGCAGGGCTTGGAGTGCACAGACGCACGGGGGGGCGGGGCAGAGAGCCACAGGGGTACAGGATCCTGGCCTGGGAAGGAAACAGTTTCACTGCTGTTTGCCAGAGGCAACAGGACGCACAGCTCCCTGGCTTCTTGGGCCTGGGGTGACCTGAGCCCTGGGGGTGCCTCTGGCTACAGGGAGGGCAGTAGAATGCTTGGTGCCCGACCCGGGGCTGCTTATACCCACATCTGCGCTCATATTCCGACCTGATCTCCCTCCCCCTCTGCTTACCTTGGCCTGGAGGGTGTGGAGCCCCCAAATGCTTCCCAGTGACCGGACCTCCACAATTTGCCAGGGAGGCCCCATGTCCCTGCCAGTGTCCCGACTCTGTGTCCTCCAGGAGTGACTGCGCCCCTCTAGGTGCGTGGGCTCTGTGGCAGGCGGGGTGCCATGCTGACCCCTCTGGTCTGTGTCTAGGCGTCTCACTTCATCTGGGCACTCTGGGCCCTCATCCAGAACCAGTTCTCCACCATCGACTTTGATTTCCTCAGGTGAGTGCAGGGGACAAATGGGGGCGGCCGGGGGGAGGAAAGGAAGAGCCCTGGGCCGAGGGTGCGGGGGCAAAGGGCAGCTCACGCAGGACACGCAGAGACCACCCTGGGCTCTGCTAGCTCGTCCCCACTCCAGCCGACCCGTGTCCAGTGGGGACACCACTTCAAGGGAGGCGCGGGGCACTCGTGGCCTGTCCCCCTGCTTCCCCTACCACACGTCACTGCCTGCTCCTCTGCATCCGCCCTGCTGCCCGCGCTCCGACCTGCAGAGCCTGGTGGTGAATGGACTTGTTGAAAATTGGGCTAAAAGATTGTGAGCCCAACCCCCATTTTATAGCAGAAGGGGACAGAGTTCCAGAGTGGCTGTGACTCGCTGAGGTTGCTCTGGTGGTCTGGTGCTCACTGCGTGGGGTATCAGACCCAACTCCTCACTCAGTGGCCCCTAGTGAGATACTGGGTGCTGTCCTGAGACTGCACCTAAGTACTAAATACTTGGGGGACCCCGGCACGTGAGGCACATCTGTCCCAAAGGGCCAGGAGTCTTTCTGCCCTCCACTGTGGCCTTGTCCCCTTGCCCTTCTGCCAGCTCACCCTCAGTTGGAAGGAATCACTGTCCTGGCTTCAAAGTGCCAACAGCCATTCGAGAAATGCAGGTCTTTGGCCTTGCCTGATGAGATACCACCTCATACCCATTAGAATGGCCGCTATCAAATAAAGAGAAAATAGCAAATGTTGGTGAGGATGTGGAGATTTGGAATCCTTGTGCACTGCTATTAGGAGTTAAAATGGTGCAACTCTTATAGAAAACAACATCTGTTTCCTCAAACAAATGGAATTACCATATGATCCAGCAGTTGCCCTGCTGGGTTTAGATCCAAAAGAATTGAAAGCAGGGTCTCAAAGAGATATTTGCACAGCCATACGCCCAGCAGCATTATTCACACACAGCCAAGAGGTGGAAGCAACCAAGTGCCCACTGATGGCTGAATAAACAAACCGTGGTCCACACATACAGTGGAATATTATTCAGCCTGAAAAAGGAAGGGAATCATATTACATACGACAGTGTGGATGAGCCTTGAGGACTATGTTTTAAATGAACTAAGCCAGATTCCACCCACGTGAGGTTCTTAAGAGTGGTCAGGCTCATAGAAAAACAAAAAGCAGAACGGTGGTTGCCAGGGGCTGGGGACATGAATACTTGCTGTTTAGTGGATATAGAGTTTTAGTTTTGCAACATGAAAAAGGTCTGGAGATCTGTTGCACAATGATGTGACTGTACTTACCACCGAGCTGTAAAAAAAAATAAAAAAAAGCAAACATGTTTGGGGAAGGCTTGTTCTAGTCTAATCTAAGAAGAAAAATGAAATTATAGTTGAAGTCAAAGAAAATCAGCCTGGGCAGTTGTCCCGCCCAGATCTAGACGGGCTGAGCTGGTGAGAAACTTTCCTCAAGGTATGCGCTCCCCCAGCAGGGCCCATCTGGCATCCCTTCTCACCCCCGGCTCCCTTTCCTGGTTTCTGGCAGGTACGCAGTGATCCGATTCAACCAGTACTTCAAGGTGAAGCCTCAAGTGTCAGCCTTGGAAATGCCAAAGTGACCGACGTCCCCATCCCTCCCTTACCTAGCTGCCTGGCCAGAGCTGTTCAACAGGGCTTGGTCTGCTCGGGGTCCATACCCTTGGACAAGGTGGGAGAGGGACAGGTGGATGTCCAGGGAGAAGACTCTGCCCCTGCCACCGGCTCCCAGTGGGTGCTGCTGGGGACCACATTCTCGTGTTTGGAGGAACTGATAGGACCCAGCTCTGGGGGTCCCCTTCACCTTGCCAGACCGGAGAGGAAGTGTGTGTAGCCAGCCAGGGCACAGGTGACAGCTACCCCTGGGAAGCCCAGCACTCCCCGGCCATGCTGGAATCTGAGCTGCCTTAGATGTACCTTTGACCTTCCTGGCTTGGGGAAAAGCGGCAGGTGGGAGGGCTCCTTTCTACCTCCAATGCCCTGAGCCTCCAGCCCGTCTCCCCTGCATGCCCCATGTGGGAGGTGCAGAGCCCGAACCGGCATCATGCCAACTGACGGATGGATGTACATAATTTGGGGGGACGCATTCTACAATTGGGTTTGGCAGCTCTCCCAGCAGCCACCTCATCTGAGGTCCCTCCGTTTCTGCAGGCCAGACCCAATGAAAAACCCCTTCCCAGAACTCCCCAAAGACACGTGCCCCCCTCTAGGGCCCTTTTGGGTTAGTCCTGTGTCCCGCCCCTCTGCGACCTGCTGGGAGGGAAGGTGATGGGGTGGTGACATCCTGAGCCTCCAAAACTGGGCTCTGCTTCATGTGTAGCTCGGCCGGAGGGGACTGGGCAAGAGTGGAGTGGGCTGCCAGCAGCCGGCAGCCTCATCCCCTCCCCTGCCCTCTACACCCTTACCTCAAAGGCTGTCTCTCCATCTCCACCTGTGTTCTAAAGGTGACCCGAGGCCTTCCCACTAGGGAATGACTAATGGCAGTCAAAGGGCAGGGCCCAGGCCCCTGCACAGCTCGCCCGGCGTGCAGGAGCCTGTGTAGAGCGGGTCGTGAAGGTGCTGACTGAGCTCGCTGCCCTGACTCTCTGTGCCTCCACCTCCTTTCTGCCCTCAGCCTCCTGGCTCCAGCTCATAGTGATTCATTTGTACATTATTGTGGTTTTCTGCATTAAAATGGCCATTTCTGGACCACTCTGCATCTGAGTGCCAATGGTGAGGAACTGACGTGGAGGGTGTGATGAGCCCTCCCAATCGGGAGGTGGCGGGGCACTCCAGTCCCACCTCTCCAGGGCCCCCCTGGGGTTGCACCCTTTCCACCACGCCCTCTGTGCACCTGGCTCCCAAGGCCCGGGCTCCTGGTTTGGGGGTAGACCTGGGCAAGCCCCTCTGCCTTTGACCCTCTTGCTGTAAGTGGCCCCTGGGAAGGTGCTGCTCAGAGCAAACCAGACTGTGGATTCCAAGAACGTGGCTACGGAGATGACACACCAGTGAGACCCTGACCAGCAGCACCCAGGCTGCTCCCTCAAGCCTCTCTGGCTCCCAGCTACTGGGGGCAGCGGCTACTCTGCCTGACAGCAGGCAAGGGTGACTTCTAGAAGCAATCTGTCACTTCCTCAGAACGCCAGAGGGAGGGACGAGGAGAAGCTCAAAGGTGAGCAGGGGGCTCCCCTCTGCAGCCCATATTGCTAAGGCTGTTCCCCCTGTGCTGGGCAGTAGGGCAGTAGCTGCCTCCAGGGCCCCCAGAAGGTGCCCGTGCCCTTAGGGGCAGCACAACAATAGCAGTGGCCACCTGCCAGGTGAACTTGGCTGTTTGGCTTTGCATTAGTACCAGGCTGCCATGGTAACCGCTGGTGCTGAGCTGCCACTGGCGCTGAGGCCTCCTTCAAGGTCACTGTGGTCCAGTGTGGCTGGGTCTGGGGGGCGCTAGAGGAGGACCTGGGTGAGGGCGTCCTGGCACAGGGATGAGGCCAGGGCTGAGCAGGTGGCGCCCCTGAGGGTTGTCCATGGGGTCAGGCGGTCATGGTGCAGCTTCCCAGGGACTCTGTGGCATCGCCTGGCCTTGATCCTCTCGGACCCACCTGTGGAACTGGGGGCAGAAATGACCCCTGTGAAGGTGGCCTTGTTCCCAGCTTCCTGGGCCTGGATGTCAGCAGGGGAGATGGCGGTGAGGTGGTGAGCAGGGCACGGCTGGAACAGGGCCCCCCAGGAGTCATCCTGTGCCCTTCTGGCCCTGGCCACCACCTGCACCAAAGGAGTGCCCACCCTACACCAGAGGCCCACACCCCCAGTTCCTCCGGTCTCCAGGGGTTGGGCCGGGAGTTAGGCACCCCTCTTCCCCACAAAGCCTGGCATGGTCCCACCATCTCTACTTTCGCTGCCACCTCAGATTGACCAGCACCCCTGCCCTCTGGCTCAGCACCAGGCCCTGGAGACTCCCAAGGGTGGCCTGGACTCCATTCCCTCAGGCCCCTTCCTAGACACTCAGCAGGAGGTCTGGGCAAAGCACCCCGGGTCAGAGGCTGGTCTCCGACCCTTGGCCTCCACAGGAAAAGCACAAAGTGGGCAGGGAAAAAATTCGTGCCCCAGCCTTCATGGTAATGACCAAGACACTCTGTGCCTGGCCTCCCCACTCACCTGACCCCACCCTGCCTCTCCTGTGGCTGGGAGTGGGGGTCCAGGGCACCACTAGCACGTTCCCGTGGAGGGTTCTTCCCATCCTAAAAGGGTGCAGAGCCCGGGACTGCCTCAGCAGCCGGGACGAGGAAGGCACAAGGGTTCCCGGCAATGGAGGTGAGCAAGACAGGCCTCAGCGTCCACCAGGCCGCAGAGGACCTGGGAATAGGGAAGGTAGAGGAACTCAGGACTGGCTGAGGGTGAGCAGGAGCCTGGCTGGGGGTGCCCTGCCTAGACTGCCCGGATTCGGTCTGTAGGAAGGTGGGGGGCGACAGCGGGGTTAGCAGGGACTGGAGAGGGGTGGAAAGGGGTGGGGGTGCGGGCAAGATGGACAATTAAGTTAAAATGAGAGGCTCTCCCACACAACCACTAGAGGGCAGCACAGGTCACCCATGCTGCTCTTTCCCAGGGCTTCCTGCATCCCGGGGGCCAGGCTGGGCTCTGCCGCCTGCCCCAGCTCCTGCAGTGGGAGGGCAAAGGAAAGGAGGCCCGAAGCTCTGGGAGGCTGGCGTGGGAAGAACCAGCACAAGCCCGCAGCTAGGCTGTTTCCAAGATCTAAAGGCCAGGACCCTAATTCTTGAGGAGTCTTCCCTCCCATTTGCTTCCCTGGGAATCACCCACACCTAACTTCTCTCACACCACCCTATCCCACTTAGAAATCCCCTTTCCAGCATTCAAGAGCCTCTTTTTGCTTACTTTGTTGCGAAGTTCATACCACTTTGAACATCCATACCAACATGTTTAGGTTAAGCCAAAATATGGACCCTGAGGGTCAAGTGGCCAAGTCCTACTTCGTGAGTTACATAGAATATTTGCATGTCACTGACCTGACAGCTTTGAAAAAAGCAATCCTGTCTTTTCTGCCCTCCCCTAGTCTCTTCTCTGGACTAAACATCCCTGGCCCTTTCGGCTACGCCCCTAAGGACCTATCTACGGGCCCCCCCAGGCCTCTTCCATGCAGGGTGCCTGCCTCTGGGCGCACGGTGTGGCAGTGGTCTTTCCTACTGAGGGCGTCACGACTGGCACGACACACCTGGGACCAGGCCTGTTGGTGTGCCCTGGCCCCTCACCTCCCTTGTTGCGAATGCACACCTGTATTAACCCAACCCAAGTCTAATTCTTCCCCAAGAACTGCCATTTTGCTTTGTTGCCCCCATTCCCCATTAATGGGATTTATAACCACAGAGTTGGTCTTTTTATTGATCCTTGCCCTGCATTTTCAGTTTGTCATCCTCCCCTTTCAGATCTGATGGACTGTTATTTCTCCTAGTGGGTTAAGGTTCAAAGTCTTCACTCAAAGCATAAGGTCACAGAGCCCTGACACACATCGTTAGAAGCCCTGCTTCATCAGCCTGTACCCTGAAGCGGGCATAAATGGGCTCAGGCTGTCCATGTGAGCCCTTCTCTAGGATGAGGGTACACAGCTTTCATTAGACTCTCAAAGGTCTCCTTCTCCAAAAGAGCGTTAAGAATGACAGGTACGGCTTAGCCTCATTTTCAGGGGACAGTGGGGCCCAAAGGAGAGACCTGAGCCCCTCACACATACTGCGAGGCCATGTGGCTAGTTCCAGAGAACTGACTCCCAGACTCATTACAGCGCTCTTGTCACCACCACCTTCTTCCCCAGGACATGCTACGTGGCGAGGTCCTGCAGGGCAGGGGCAGGGCGGGTGTGTGGACTCCATCCGCGGGGGTGTCACTCCAAAGCCACTCCTGAAGTTCCCTCCCACTGCCACCACGAGGCACTGGTGCTCCGGCTGACAGCACTGGACTTGGGCCAGTCTCCCCTTCCCCTGCACCAAGGGCCAGATTCTGAAATGGTTTTTATTATGCCAACAGAAAACAAAAAAAATTCCCCGAGTGTAAACAGGAGAAAGGTGCTGGTTAAGTTACTCATTATCTTATTATTAACAAAATAAAGCACTATCTATGTTTACAGTCATAAAAAAAGAAACAGCCTGGAGAGAAGTTGGGCATGGGGTGGGGGGTGAGGGGAGAATACGGGAGGCAGGCAGGCTTACCACATCTGCCCCTGTAGGATTTGGGGTTCCCTCCCCACCCTTACCCGAGGGCTGTTCTGGATCTTTGGAGTCAGGTGCCAATGGGATTTTGATTTTCTTGGCAGAATAACTTGTGAAAATGATCAGGGCTGAGGCAGGAGCAGAGAACAGGCAGACAAGCCCAAGCCTTCTCCCCAGCCAAGAATGGGGGGCCCTCCCACGCCCTGCTCATGAGGGAGGAATGGAGACCAGCTGCCGTGGGAGCCCCGCTCTCCAGGGCTTGTGTCGCACACAGGAAGGGGGCACCACCAATCCCCTGCCCCCACTCCAGGCATTCAGGCTGGGACCAGGGGCTGGGTACCAGGGCACAGGCCCTTGGCGGCTGAGCGTATTCCCATGCTGCTCGGAGCTAAAAATGGCTCCGTGGGAACTGACCAGAGGAGTCGGGGAGGGAGTGAAGGGGTGGACGGTGGAGATCAGGGCGCTGGTGGGCCCAAGGGCAGGCCAGGGGTCCACAGAGACCTGTGTGACCAGTGGGCACTGAGAGGGCAGAGGCAGACACCAAGAGAGGGAGACACAAAAAGGGCCCTGCAGAGAAACAAGGACAGAGATACACACAGAACACACAGAACCTGAGACACCCAGACTGACAAAGAGGTAGCAATTTGGGGACAAAGAAGCACAGAAAGAGGCCCCCAAGAAGCCAGAGTGGCATCAAGAGACGCACCCACAGGAACTCAGCAACAGAGCCTGGCACATAGTGGGCACTCAATAAATACCTTGTGCAATGAATGAACAGATGCAAACACACACATGCACATACGCACACATACATCACACACACACATAGAGCAGCCAGAGGCACAAATGGCTCGGCAGGAAACAGAGACAGGAGGGAAGCTAGACCGTTTTGCTCAAAGAACAAAGTGGTCCTGGTGATGGAGGGGCGATTTGGGAGGGTGTTGGTCCCACAGTGGCTGGTCCAGCCAGGACAAGAATGGAGACAAAGCATATGGCCCCAGGGGGACAGGTCTGGAGCTGCCACACCCCTGGGCTGGGTAGACCTGCAAGAGGGGTCATCCAGTGTCCCCTGGCCATGAGCCGCAGAGGCTAAGGAGCTCAGGTGGCTGGCCCACTACCACCATGCAAGTGCTGCACACCTAAGCCAACAGCTCCTCAGATGTGGTGGGTGGGGGCCTCTCCCATCACGGATGTATCTACAGGTACACAGCTGTGCCCACCTCCCAGGCATGTCCAAGTCCGAGTACCAACATGGTCCAGGTCGGCAGGCTGTGCCTATCTTGGGGCCACGTCTTCCCCAGGGAAGAGGCCCGGGCCCGCCCAGCCGACGTCAGTCCGTGAGCACCACCAACTCCCCGTCGCTCTTCTCCTCGCCCTCTGAGTCCTCACCCTCACTGTACCGGTACATCTCCCCGTCGGCCACCGAGTGCCTGTCTTCTGTGGCCTCGCCCTCCTCCCTGAGGCTGCAGGCGTTGATGATGACAGGCATGTTAGGGTCCAGGTTCCGGGGCACATAGTGCTCCACCAGGGGCTGTGCCAGGGCCATGCCTGCCACCCGAGGGTACAGGACGTCTGAGGAGCTCATCTGCACTTGGCCAGCCTGCGGGCTGTGGGCAGAGAACACCTGTGGTCACAGAGCACCCTCCCCTCGCCCCCAACCTGGCTCCCCTGCTGGCCTCCTCAGGGCAAGCCCTCTCGCCCCACCCTCTTTCGTTTCCAAGACGCTCTGCCCCCCTGGTCTGCTTTCTGATGGCCCAATTCATTGTCGGCTACGGTGCCCCACACACACGCAGACTCACGGACCTGCATGTGTTCCCCAGATATTCCTGGAGGACTGTGTGCAAATCTAGTTTTTGGAAATTATACATTTAAATCCCCCGGGACATTTCCTATTTAAAGGAATCCACTAGGGTGCTCCTGATCAAATCAGGAATCCTCTGTATGATTTCTGGTATCCCTAGAACCCGAGTTTGCCAGAAATGAGATTTGCAGGCACATTTCTCCAGATACACATGGCTGGGCCCCCTCAGCCACACTCACCTCTATGGTCGCACACGGGCCCAGCCAGACAGAAAATGCCACCCACATACACATACCATGCTCCTGGAGTCACAAAGGCAAGCCACACACTACCACCCGGCCACTGATGTGGGCTGCACAGACACACGCACACGCACGCAGTCTCAGCCACCCGGGGAGGGCCTGCTCACGGGGCCACGTAGCTCTGGCGGGCATCCTGGCGTCGGGTCCTCATTAGGGCCTTGTACTCGCCCACGCGCAGCCTCTTGCCTTCCACGATGCACGTGCGCTTGGGCCGCGGCTTGTACTTGTAGTCAGGGTATTTTTCTAGGTGCTGCCGGCTCAGCCTCGCCTGCTCCTCGTAGTAGGGCTGCTTCTCCTGGTTGCTCATAGACTTCCAGCGAGAGCCTGGCTCAGACCCCCGGGGCAGACAGTCAGTTCTGAGCTTCGTCAGCCACCCCCAATCCCCTGCAGGCCCTGAAGGCTCCTGGAAGATTTTGGTCTCCAAGCGGGTCAACAAAATGATATCTGTTCAAGCATTTAGCAAGGGCCTGGCTCTGTGTGTGTGCCCCTTGGATTTCGGTCTTGCAAATGAATAAAGTTGGCATGTAGATGGGTATTTGACTGCCAGCTTAAGACAGAGCACCCACCCACCCCAATCCCAAACCACCCAGCAACTTCTGGAACCCTTTAGTTTGTATGAATTGCATAAACAAAGGAGCAGCCACCCCAGGTCCCCAACAATGCAGACAGGCTCCCTACTGAGGACAAAATACCTGGTGTCTCACTTGACAGGAGACATTGGAGGAGCCTCAGTCTTAAAAACAACGTCCCTCTTCTAAGGAAGGAGGTAGGACAGGTGCGATACACATGTCCTGCCCTGTGTCCTTCCTCGGCCTCTAATCAGGACATATACTTTAAAAAGCCTTTCTACTGACACCTGAAGAACACCAGCCTCTCCCATTTCCTGCCAGAGCCAGCTGCAAGGATCTGGGCAAACAGCTGGACAGGGGAGGGAGATCAGAGGCTAAGGAATGTACACATGTGCGTGTGTGCATGCACGCACACACACACACACCCTTGAGTTCCTGGGTGCAGGTTCTAGAAGAGCGCTGCAGTGGTACGAGACTCTAGGACCCAGCTACCCCACGTCCCGCCTGACTTCCGTACCCCGTCAGACCCCACTGGTGCTCCACACGGCGTGGACTATCACCCTGCAAGCCCCAGGTAGACCTCGTTGTTCCTGCAACCAGGTCCTGCTGGACTATGGCTCCTGGCCCCCTCAAGTCCCCAGGGTCCCCGCTCGCTGGCCCTTACCGAGGATCTTGCTGATGCTGGAGTTGTGCATGTCTGGGAAGGCTTGGAGGATCTTCCTCCGCTCGTCCTTGGCCCACACCATGAAGGCGTTCATGGGTCTTTTGATGTGGCTGCTGTTTCGGGACTCAGGAAAGTGGCGGGAACCTGGGGGGCAGGGGCGGAGTCAGACAGCAGGGCGGCAGGTCTGGGGATGAGCACAGTCCCCCAGGGCTGGCAGAAAGCGATGGCCCATGCCTGACCACTAGGGGGCACGGGGGAGGCTCCAGCAGTGACCAGGGAAGGCCAGTCAGGGACCCAGGGACAGACCAGGGCCAGCCATGTAAGAGGACGCCACAGACAGACGAAGGGCCAGGAGGGGTCGCACACAGACAGTCTGACCCTGCCAGCCCTGGTGGGAAGCAGAGGGGGTCCTCCTGCCCCTCAGCCCGGCGTGGGGGCCCTCACCATCCATGTCACAGCCCAGCACGGCTTCATCCAGGGGGTGCACACAGCTCTCCTCCAGCCGCTCCTTGGCTGGGGATGTGTCCAGGCTGATGAGGTCCTGGGGTTGACAGGGCCAACTTGTGTCACCCCAAGGCCCCCCTCCCCTCCCTTTGGTGGCTCAGCCTATCTCCTGCCTACTTCCAGGTACGAAGAGAGCGGGGATCCATACCTTCCGGAAGGGGGCATTGGAGGAGCCTTCCAAGGCCCCGCCATGGCCATGGAGCAGCTGTCGAGCATCTTGGATGGCTTTGGTGACAGCGTCCCCTTCACCAAGGAAGCCTATGCGTGAAAAGGTAAGACGAGAAGGGACAGGTTGTGGAGGGGTCAACCCAGGTCACAGCCTGCCACTCCTGTGAGGTACCTGCCTAGGCTGCAGCTCCCTGTTGCCCCGCCCCAGGGCCGTTGCATAGCTCATCCCCAAGGGGGTATCATTGATACTGGCTTTTGCGAGGTACCCAGACCAAAAGTAAGAATCACCCCTGGAAAGTGAGCATCTCAGTGGCCTGAACCTCTGATCCTGGAGCACCTAGTCAGACGTGGGGGTGGGGAGTGGGGCGGGCACCTCCGGATGCAGCAGGTCTGACCCCTTCTGGAGGGGTCAGGACCCACCCACGGCCCTATCACACCCTCCCAGCTCTCGAGGCGAATGCTGATGGGAAAGGTGCACTTGGCCGAAAGCTTACCCAACGGCAGGTTGGGGGGGCTGGACTGCAGGTCCCGTGTGGGGGCCCCATGGCTGGGGGGACGGGGTCCACAGGTGCTCATCTTCAGGCTCGGGGAGCTGGAGGTGTTAGGCAGCTCGGGGGCCTTGGGCTTGGCTGTGAGGTTCAGGGGTTGGGAGGGCTCCTGAGGGAGACCCAGAGGTCAGGGGGTCAGACACCAAAGGACACCCCACAGAGGGGCAGAGGGGACATATGGTGACCCAGGAGTGACAAGGAGACAGGAAGAGAAGAGATGGAAGGAACAGGTAAACGAGACAAAGGCCCGCCCCCCTGCTCCCTGGGCAGTGGGCGGCCACTGCAGGGAGGGCCCCGGCCAGCGGGTGTGGCGGTACCTGCATGGGGTGGTGGGCGGCCAGCGCCCCAGACCTCTTCACCACGGGGGCAGGGGGGCTGTGCAGCAGCTGCAGCGGGTACTCCACTGTGGCAAAGGAGGCAAGGGGCAAAGTCTCGGATGAGCACAGAACAGCACGGGCCCTGCTGGCGGTCCCGGCAGCACGAGACGGCCAGAGGCCCGGAGCTAGCCCAGCTGCCTCCGACCACTGCGCTCTGCAGCCCCAGGACGCCGCTGAGGGCCTCCTGGGGCTTCGTCTGCCTCTGCTCTGCACACTGATGGACATCTTCAGCCTTTTCCTGCCTGTCCCAACCCACTGAGCCTGGGCTTCCACCCCAGTGGTGAGATAAGAACAGCTCTGTCATCTACTCATCCTGTGGGTACTTGCACCTGTGTGCAGGGTACAAAAGCAGCTACCTGCATGTGGCAGGCGCTCAATACATTATCCCATTTTACAGATAAAGAAACTGAGGCCTGGAGAATTCATATGGGTTGCCCACATCATTAATAAATGAGAGCACCAAGACATGAACCCCGGTCCTTCTAGACTCCACAGCCCACATCTACTCCACATCCACACGGCTTTCTCTCGTCTACCTGGCCTCCCATACTCTCCCTCAACCAGGCCCAGTGTTGAGGAGTTGACAGTGCAGGTGGAGAGGTAAGCCAGGTGTACTGATCGCAAACCACGTGGCCAGTGGTGGCCAGCTGTGTGGGTAGCACGCCAGAGAACTTTGTTCCAGCAGGGGTGACTGGAGCAGGCTTCCCAGGGGGAGGCGAGCTGCAAGCTGGTGCCTGCAGCTGGCGGGTGGAGATGGATGCATGGAGTGGGGTGTGAGGGCGAGATGTGGGAAATGAGACTGGCCGGTGACAGGCAAGGTGGGCTCAGAGCCCTGAAGGCCGAGCAGGAGTTGGACTCCACACTGCAGGGCGATGGGGCACCACCTAAGGCTGGGGAGCCGGGGAAAAGCCTCATTCCCTCGGCCTTGGGAAGGGGCCTCCCGCCGCTTGCGGGCGCCACCCGCTGGGATTCTGGAGCGAACTCAGCAGGTGGCCAGTCCAGGTCTTCCCCAGCTGACATCCGCTGCTCTCTCCCGGGGCGCACGTGGCCCTCTATCCTGGCCAGGCCCCTGCCCTCCTCACCCCTGTGGCTCCACACCACAACCACCTGGCTTTGGGCTGCTGCCCTGTCCCCCACCTCCAACCCTCTGCTCCCCAGGCCCTCCCACCCCCTCACTGGAAGCTTCCTTCAAGGTAGGGCCTGACTCTTCTAGTCCCTTAGGCTCCGCCTTCCCCACCCTCGAGTGCCTGGTGCAGAACCGGGTGGCGGCGGAGTGGGGCTGACCACAGGTCTTGGTATGGGGCCCAGGGGAACTCAGATCCCTGCTCTGTCACTTGCAAAGTCAGGGTGGCCCCAGGGGGGTTGACTCGAACGCTGTTCCCACTCCTGAGGCCATTATGGGCAGCCTCTCTGCCCTGTCCCACAACCTTCCACAAAGAACCAATGATCGTGGCCTGATAATTCCACCTCTGCCTCCTTCCTGTCACTGCCGAGTTCAGGCTGCCGCTCCATCATCATCCTCAACAGCACCTGCGGTCCAGCCTCTGGTAGGTGCCCCTCCGCTTCCCTATCACCCACAGCCAGCACGGCAGCACATCCTCAACTCAAACACTTAAGCATGTCCGCATCCTACAAAACGAATTCCAAACTCCACAGCCCTCCCCAGCCACATGCCAACCCATCGCAGGCTGACGCTGCCCCACCTCCAACAGCACCCGGGCCCCAGTCTGCACAGCCCTCTCCCCACACCCCCACCGTCAGCCCCCAGCTCTTCGCGCCCAGTCCACTCTCCCAGGCCCAGTCACGAGCCCCCTCAAGACGCCTTCCCAGATTCCCCAGGTTCTGGTGTCTCCCGTCCTCCCTCCCCGGACCGCAGTTCCTTGAGCTCAAAGTCCACGTCTGATCACCCTCACGGCCACCAGACTACCCAGGGCCTGACACGTGGTTGGTCCTGTCTGTGTTGCCAAACTTCAGGGACGGGGCAGAAGGCAGGAGTGACATGGTCAGGGCAGGAACAGGAATGTGATGTGGGAAATGCATAAACCTCAGTGAACATTCAAGGGCAGAAAACGGGAGACTAGACCGGGACTGGCTGTCTGCTCCCCGGGAAGCACTGCATGGTTCTCCGCATGTTGTTCTTTTCATTCTCAGAGTGAAGTTGGAAAGGGGATTATTCTTCCCCTGGACAGATCCGGAAGTGAAGCCGGGAAAGGCCACACTGCGGATAAACGGAGGACGGTGGTCCTGGGCTCCTTCCCCGACCCCAGCGCAGCCCCCAGGGTGGGATCTGCCTCCCACACTCACCTGGCTTGCAGGGGATGGGCTGAATGGGTAAAGCCAGCTGGGAGTCGGGGGTGACAGGCAGAGGCTGGTGGCTCGGGGGGAAGGCTGGGATCATGACATAAGGCATGTTGACCTGCTGAGGGCAAAGAAACCCTGTGAGTCCCTGGGGGCCCCAACAGCTCCCGCAGGAACAGAGGATGGGCCCAGAGATGAGGGGCGCAGGGACTGGGGCAGGGACAGTCAAGATGACCCACGTGACCCCATGCCGCCTGCTGCCCGTGCCACCCCACCTTCCCCTCCTACCTGGATCTGCTGCTGGAGGAGGTTGATTTTATGCTGTTGCTGAATCAGCTGTTGCTGCTGTTTGGCGATCTGTGGGGACAGGACAGGGGCAGGCTAGGGGCCGGGTTAGGCCTGGGCCCACGGCCCACACTGCCATCAGGCCCAGCCACACCCTGCCCTCCACGCCTGCACACACCCTGGAGGAGGGCTGGGTGGCAAGAAGGAAGAGCCAACCCTGGATTTATTCTCCTTTCCTGGGCAGCTTACCCTCCCCCGAGAGGCCGGAGGGAGGCTCAGCAGGGGCTTGGTGCCCCTCCACCTGCTGTCCCCCAACAGGGCTTCTGAGTGGCCAGAGACGGGGCCCTGCCGCCCTGGCACAGCCCCACCCGTGCCGACCCTGCTTGCCTGCCCCCCAGGCCTGGTGCCCACTCCCTGGGAGACCCTGACCCCAACCCCTCCCTGGGACTGAGACGCTGACCCCTCCCTGGAACAGAGACTCTGACCCCCAACCCCTGACCCCGACCCCACCTGCTCCTGCTGCTGCCGCGCCAGCTCCATCTGCTGCTGCTGCCTCTCCAGCAGCATGGCGGCCACGCTCTTCTGCTCCGAGTGCGCCGTCAGCAGCTGGTCCCGCAGGCTGGACAGCTGGTGGATCATGACCAGAAGCTGGAGCTCCTTCTCCGCCAGGCTCTCCTGGGTCCCTGCGCCACAGGGCACGGCTGCCACTGAGAACTCTGTCCCCGTCCCTCTGACCCCTGTCCCTGTCCCTCTGTCCCCTGTCCACCCGTGCAAGCACCCAGCCACCTGACAGGACTGAGCAACTGCACTGTCCCAGGCTGTGAGGGGCTGAGGGCAGGGAGACTGCAGCCGGAATGCTAACCTGGACAGGCACCTCATCGGGCTCGCTGACAAGTAGCTGCCCTAGAAGTTCCCAACATCCATTGACTCCAAGCCCTGGAAATGCCACTGGTGGGCATCTCAGCCCCAGCCCACTTCCTGGCCTGCCACAGGTGAGGGAGGGTCATCGTCCCAAGGCAGGAGCCCAGTGGCACACACCATGCTTTGGAGCGAGACAGAGCGGCGTTCAAATCCTCATTTCAACCCACCCCACCCAGGAGCTGTTGGGCAAATAACCAACTTCCCTGCACTTGAGCTGTTTTAGTTTATAAATGAGCACAGTAATTGTTACTTCACTGGGCCATACAGAGACCATCAATGTAAAGATAGGAGTCCAGGATCTGGTACATGGTCCTCAGCCAGTAAATGCTAGCACTTCCCTGCCCTCCACGTTAGCCAATGTCAATGCAGCAGTTTGCTCCTAAATGCCAGGCCGCAGAGCATCTGCATCAGAATCACTCAGGGAGTCTCTGAAAAATACAGATGCCCAGGCCTCCGCTCCTGGGGTTCTCATTCAGGAGGTGGCACCGTTACTGTCTACAGCTCCCTCTGCGGGTGAGAACCGCCACACTGGGAAAATGATAATGGCAATGAAACCAAGCAGCGCCTTACTTTCACCTAGTGAGGTCCTGGTGGCCTACAGTTAATTTTCAGCAGTGAAAGGGAATATTTGGCCCATTTTATAGTTAGATCTGGGCAGTGGCAATGATGTGCCTAAGGTTACAAGGGTCCCTAGTAACTAGAGCCCAAATTCATACCCACGAGCTGTGATTCCTCCTGCCTGGGGATGAGCCAGACCCACATGCTGGGTCCCCAGGTGAAGATGGGGCTGGGTTTTTAATCCAGAGTGGCGCAGGTCAGGTATGAGGGCACCAAGAACCCCAAGAATTCCCTTACAGATCCAGACTGCATGGCCAGGCCAGAAAGGGAAGGGGCTCAGCCACGCCCCTCCTGGCACCCCAGGGGCTTTACCTTTGACATCTTTGGTTTCTACGGAACTCCTTCCCAGAAACCTCTCCTTCCAGTCACTGGAGAGCAGTTTCTCGATGGCCGGCACAACTGGAAAACACCAAGGGGATGAGAGGCAACATCCTAAACCTCCCAGCGCAGGCCCCTGCCTCCAACTAGGGTAGATCTTACCTTCTTTTAAGTTCCGGTGGAAGTCCAGCTTCTCCTGGCTTCCAGAAGCAGCTGCAGGACCTCCTGGTCTCCTGGGCCCTGGGGACCCGTCGCTCTCTGGCGAGCTGCAGTCCTGCAAGACACACTGAATGTCACTGTCACCCTCAGGAGAAGGGAGGCAGACTGCAGGGGGAGCTGAGTACCCCAGGGACGAGCACCCTGGGGAATTCCAGGCTCCACCTGGCCCCTCAGGAGGGCGCTCCCCCTGCCCCCCCTTCCCTACGTGAAAAGAACAAAAGGCTGGAAGCAAGAGACTGGGATTTCAGGCCAGGCACAGTGACTCACAAGGTGCTTGATCCCACATGAGTCCCTCAACTTCTCTGAACCTGACTCCCCCCTTCTGAAAATGGAAATGCTAATACCTGCCTGTCACAGGGTAGCTGCTGGGATCAAGCGAGTTAATGCACGAGTTAATGCACGTGAATGAGGCTTGCACTGCGACTCAGGGCCCCAAAGCCAGCTGCTAATTATCACTCGCTTGCCTACACCCACAGCTCCACCCAGGGTACCCCCTTACCCCTTCTCAACACTGTCCTCTCTCCTCTTCTCATTTGAGTCCTCTCTGTTCTGGGAGGCCCAGCTTACTCCTCCGGAAGTCCTCCTCAATCACCATCAGTACCCCCTCCCCGCACCCCACACTCCTCCAGGCTGGGTCCTTCCTCAGAAACCCAAAACTCTCATTTTCACTCATTGGGTTTTTAATCACATGGTCCCTTTTTACGTCTCTTGCATGGAATCAGAATTTTTGAGAGCCACAAGAGTCCTTACTGCTTGGGTCGTCTATCTCCTTCATTGGAAGGATGAGGACCCCAACCTATTGTCTCTAACTGCAATTCAGCTCTGGCTTGGATAGTAAGGCTGATTTCCTTGTTATGTAAGAAAGCTGGTAGATTTACCTTTAAGCCAAAGTTGGAGCATATATATATATATGTGTGTGTGTGTATATATATCATCTCCCCAACTAGTCCTCGGGGGTAAGGACTACCCCTGTGCATGAGCAGTTAATATCATGCAAGTGAGTCCATGACCCGCTCAGACAGGTGGCCTGGCTGAACTTGGAAGCCCCTCCCCACTCACCTAAGTCTTGCCCCAAAGATGAATGTTCCTGCCCGCCCCTATGCCCAGGTAGGGGGTGAGTGCCCACCTGGCTCAGTGCACTCAGTGCAGAGGCCAGGTACAGAGCACAGGTGTGGGTGGGGACACTGACCCAGGAGCCCCTGGGAAAGGGCTGGGCACCTGGGCTGGAGCTGGGGGGTCAGCACCATCCTGAGGGGCCCGGGCTGGGTCTCCAGGCTGGGGTTCGGCTGTAGCGGCTGAGCCCTGGAGGGCCTCCTGGCAAGGCTCCTTCCTCCCCTCTGACTTGACAGTACAGTTCACCATGGTGCCAACGCCCTCCAGGGCCAGCTGGGCAGAGCCGGGGCTCCTCATGGACATCCTGAGAGGAGGGACAGGGTGAGCAGGTAAGTCCCGAGCCCCAGGGGCAGTGCCCTCCACGCCCCCACCCGTTCCCCGGCCCAGAACAAACACGCACAAACTCTAACTTGCATTTCCATCCCATGATGAAACATTTTGAAAGATTCTTTGATCCCTCATTTTTATTTTTTTTAATAGGAAGGTTGAGAGAAGACTGCCCCCCACCCCGGCTTTGGCACAGCCTGTTGGAACTGGTGGGCTGATGGGTCCATCCACAAGGTTGAAAGCTGGCTGTTTCTGAGCCCAAAAAAGCCAAATTTACATAAACATGTATGTGTGTCTGTGAACGTTTGTATTTGTAATTATGCAATAATAGTTGTAATTATTTACCAACATTTAAAAATCACAAAATATCACATCAAAAAAATGGATTTGAACTTCTCTTGAAGTTGGCCTGTGGCCTGGCTGAACTCAAGCGGCAGGCCCCCTACGGACAGGCCCAGGTGCCTTAGTCCTCACCACTCCTCAACTGGAAACCAAGTATAAGCAACCCTATGTCTACATTTGTTCTCTTTTTTCCTTGTAATAGAGACAAGATACAAGTGAAATATTTCTTACATCCATGTATCTACCAGAAGTGGGAAAATAAATAACAGGCTGGGATATGCACAGCTTCAAAGTATTGCCTTGTATTTAGCTAGTGGCAACCTCCGCTTTGAGCCTGGCCCCTCTCGGCATTTGCAATCCCTGGGGCAACCGCGGCCCCCATGCTGCCTCCCCAGCACCTAAGACATCCGGAGTAGGTGAGCAATCAAAGGATCCTGGGGTGCAGTTTCCAGGGGGCATGTACAGGCTCGGGCCAGAGCAGCAGATGCCCACAGCTCACCTGCTCACCGTCCGAGGTCACTGAAATTAGAGTTGTGGGCACACACAACAGATTCCAATATGCCTGGGTCCTACCTTGGCTACTTGACTAGCAGCTGAGTGACCTTGGGCAAGTTACTTAACCTCTCCGTACCTTAGTTTGCTCATCTGTAAAATGGGCAGTTGTGATAAAACTCACATGGTGTTCACAACAAACCAGAACACCGACCATGGTACCAGGAAGCCCGGATGTGCCTTTGTTAAACCACTAGTTGCAGTGCAGTACAAGGACCCAGAGACTCAAGATGGCCTGGGTGCTTATTTGAGAGGCGCTGTCATGGGTCACCCACAAATCACTGTGGGCGGGGCCAGGGGTCTGTTTCAGTAAGTGCCCCAGGTGATTCTGATTCATGCTAGTTTAAGAAACACTGTTAGGTAAAATTTAAAAAGTTTTTTTTTTACACAGCCATTAAATTTTTAGGAGGGGGAGTGTAAGGCAAAAATCAGATATAGTAAAACATTCCTTAAATTCAATTGCAGGTGTGTATACTGTTTGTGTATTGCATCAACTCTGTACAATAAAAGGTTTCTTGTAACGTATAATGGGTGGCGCAATGTGCCATATACAAAGAGTCCAGGCACAGCGTTAAATAACTGCAGACGCACGATGGTTCAAGGGGATGCATTTGCTATGATGCCACCCTCGACAGCAGTCCAGACTAGACTCTCCCACCACTTCTAAAGGGCAGAGTGCCCTGGGGGCTGGTGTGGGATCCAGGACAGGGTGCTGCAGGGCGAGGGGCACACCTGACCCCAAGGACACCAGCCCAGGAAAGAGACGGGACCCCGGCCAGCTCACCCTGGGGCTTCACGGTTGGGCTCCCCGCCGCCCAGGGACCTGGAGAGCGTCCAGGAAGCAGGCGGCTCAGCCCATCCGGGTGCAGGGAGGGGCGCAGAGCCAGGCCCCGAGGCGGGGGAGCCGGCCATGGGGGAGGGGAAGGCAGGGAGAGGTATTATCCTGAAGCTGAGGGCAGCAATTACATAACAAACAAACCCCGGGCTCAAGCTGTGAATTAATCAAACCGCTGAAAATAAAACCTTCCTCTCAGGAACTTCAGACAAAAGAAATGAAAACAACCAGGCTGGCTGGAAAATAAAAGGCAGCGGTGCTGAAAGGGGGACAAAAGGAAACCAGACAATAGGGTGCTGGACAAAGGCAATAAAGCCAAAGGAAGTGTGACAGGCGGACAATGCGGGCCTGTGGGCTTCTGATCCCTGGCGTGGCTCTGCGCTACCTCGTCCCACACCCACGGCTCTGCTGGCCACAGGCCTGGGCAGGTCACCAGGTCACCTCCTTGCTCTGGACTCCAGTCCTAGCTCTGCGGCCCTCCAGCTCCCACCTCCAAGCCTTTCTTCCCACTGCAGCGCAGGGATGCCAGCAAGCAGCCAGGCACGTGGTTCGGTGAGCAGGTTGGGGAGGCCTTGAGGCCTGCGAGCTATCGGGCTGCCACCTCCCCAGGGCAGGATGCTGACCTTCCAGCCATCCCGAGCGGGAGGCAGGGGTGATTACCGGCCCTAATTAACTCTGCGACCGCACTGCCCGAGAGCACAGCCACTCACCACAGGCAGCGACTGAACGCTTGTAACACGGGGCAGTCCCGATGCAAATGTCCTGAGTGTAAAAGACACCCCGGTTTCCAAGGCTTAGCAGGAAAAACGGAATGTAAAATAGTTTATTAATGACTGGTTAATGATGACATGTTGAAATTATAATAGTCTGGATACACTGGGTTAAATAAAATAAATTGTTAAAATTAATATCACCAGTTTCTTTTTATATTTCTTAACTTGGCTACCAGAAAATTTTCAATTACGCACGTGGCTCACATACTTCTTGGGCAGCACTGCACCGCGCTAGGACATCTCCCTTTGAGCTTTTCTACTCACACTGCGTCCCCAGGAGCACCTCCAGCCGGGCTCCATGGAGTACCTGTATACTGGGAAGCCTGCCTCCTGGGGCTCCCAATAGCTCATCCTGGCCTCTGCACAGTGCCTGGTAACAAAGAAAATGGCTCCTGGTGACCAGCCAAGCTGAGTTGGAGGCATCCGTCTGTTCACCAGGGTGGGGTGCCCCACCAGACAGCCCTGTCGGGTGTATTGGTAACTCCCACCGGTGTATCATTCAGCTTTGGGCACTGGCTCAATCCGTCCCCTCTGGACTCATTTGCTGATGGAGAAGAAACAGCCCCGGCCTGCTGGTCTCCTTCCTGGGACTCACCATAGGAGAGGGTCCTTGGGCACTGCCCTGCCTCCCTCTTGCCCTCCACGAACACAGGCCTGCTGGACCGTCACCACCTCGCCTCTCTTTCCCCAGAGCAAAAGCCCCACGTGATAAACTCAGTAAGGAGAGAAGAAAGAACGAGGGAGGGGCTTGGAGTGGACACACAGTCCCTGCTCTGCTGTTCTGCAGCTGGTGTCCCTGCACAGGTCGCTTCACACCTGAAGGCTCTGTCTGTAAAAGGAGGGGACCTGGGGTGGGGGCGGGGGTCAACGGTACAGGGATTGGAAAACTCACAGGCTTTTGGATTCAACCACCTGGATTCAAATTCCTGCCCTGCCAACACAGCTGCCTTGTGTGACCTTAGGCCAAGTTAATTCACTCTGAGCCTCTGTGTCCTCATCCATAGAATGGGTACAAGAACCTATACTGCACAGGTGCCCATGAAGAGTCAGGTGGTTGAGAGAAAAGTATCTGGCACCAAGCAGACCTGGGTACATTTTAATCCCAACTCTGCCCAATTTACTGCTGTACAATCTTGAACAAGTGACTTAACCTCTCTGAACCTGTTTCCTCCATAATAAGATGGAAATAAGAGAACCCAGTATGAAAGGCTGAGCCTTCCATTAGTACTCCAGACGCTGTAAGATGCACCTGTTTTACATTCTCCCAGCAGCCTGAATTTGGCCTTTAAAGTACTTATCATGGTTGATAACGATTATCTTTATCTGCTTAATTTATTTCTGAGAACTTACCCAGCCCCACCCGGGGCACTGCAGAAATATACGTGGTTTTACTCTACACCGAAGCCCCAGAATTCAGCACTGTGCCTGGCGCATAGTAGGTGCCCAGCACATGTGTACAATGGTCAGAGAGTATAACATAGTTCCGCAGCATAGCGTGAGGCTGCCTGGATGTGTACTAATTGACAACTACAGACCTTCCTTGCCTTATGATGGGATTATGTCCCAACAAACACACTGTGAATTGAAAATATCCTTAGGTCGAAAATGTATTTACTACACCTAACCTAGCCTGCCTTATACGTGCTCCGAACACTTATATTAGCCTGCAGTTAGGCAAAATCATCTAACACAAGGCCTATTTTATAATGAAGTGCTGAATGTCCCACGGAGTTTACTGAACACTGAGCTGCAGGCGAAAGACAGAGTGGCTGCGTGGGCACAGATGGCTGCATGTCAGGTGCCCACTGTCAACCATGTGGCTGACGGGAGCAGCGGCTCGCTGCCCTGCCCAGGGTCACAAGAGAGGGTCGGACCATGCGTCTGCCTGGGAAAAGACCCACATTCTGATTTCAACATGTGGTTTCTACTAAATTTGGTCTCACTTTTGCACACCATCTTAAAGCTGAAAAATCCCGAGTCAAACCATCTTAAGTAGGGGACCGTCTGTACGACCATCACTACAAGATGCTGCTCCCTGCGGTTCATTTCACACCAGTTACCCTCAGCGGCCTCCTCCCTGCACTCAAGCTCCTCCTGCGAGTGACCTGAGTCACCCCTGCAGCAAAGCAAGTCCGTTTCCTTTTGCTGACACCCTGGGACAAGTAACATTCTCCATACCTTTCGGATTTCAAGACCCTGTTGGAGCCTTCCGCTAAGTCTTCTTTTCCAGAGACTAAATGCCTCGAACTCCTTTACTTCCTTACAGAGTCCGCTCCATGCTTCAATCATCCAGTTTCTCGGGAGGTTCTAAGGCCAGAAGCCACGCCTGCCCCTCTCTCCAGACGCCCGTCAGTCAAAGCAGCCCAGCAAAGTTATGAGGTCCTGGTCAAAGGCCCTGAGGCCACAGGACACTCTAGTCAGCCTCCACTCGGGTGGACGTGCTCCTCTATACCAGTCTTTTCCCTCTTGCTCAGC